GCGCTGCTAAACGAGGTTTGGCTACGCCTAGTTCTAAACTTCCGCGTGCTTCCCTTGCTTAGCCTGGGAATTTTAGTAGTCAATCCTAGCGAGTCCCTGCGCTGCATAGTTTTTAACAAAATGAAAATATTCGTAATTTGATGGCAATGCAAACGTACCACAAACAAGATTTAGTTAAATCACTTAACGCTGCCTACTCGATTCCGTCAGTATCAAAATGTCTCTTAGATCTCTCACGACTAAATTAGTGACTCAGCTAAAGTTACACACAGGGTCTACCCAGTATTGATATAAAGCTAACTCAACCCGGTTGTATAGTGTAACAGTATCACTAAGTTTCCACAAGATATAATCGACACACAAAACACAATCGATAATCAGATAAGAATATCCTACAGGTGACAGCGACCTTTTGTCAGTATCAATTTATCGCCACACAATTTATCAAGTCACTGCTTTGTTAAAATTAAGCAATCTTTGATAAAAAGCAGTGATGATTCAGAAATAGATAAATAAAACTTAGTCTTAAAGAAAAAGACTTCCCCCAATCGGAACGATCCGAAAGAACGAAGCCCAGGACACATTCTTCTCAAGTGGGTGTGTGTCTGCCTAAAACACCCACCGAGGTCTTCTTTTAGGTGTCCTGCGATTGCCCGAGCTGTCCTACTAAGTAGCTCAAGGCAACCTCTGATCGAAAATTCTTCAAATCTATGAAAAAGCTCTCCCACACTCGGACTGCTCCAAGTGCACGAGAGTAGGGAACAATTTTTCTTCTCAAGTGGGTGTGTATTTGCCTAATACACCCACCGAGGTCTTCCTTTATTTGTTCCAGGATTGCCCGAACTTTCCTATTAAGTAGCTCAAGGCAACCACACAACCAAAATCACAATCAAAAAAAATTTTGTTCGGGTACTTCTAATACACCCAATGTAGAATCCAAAGTTGATCACAAATTTCCGGGTCAAAATGGGTTCTTATGATCCTGATAAGCACGCCTAATATCCTAATATGATCCTAATTCAATGGATATTTTCCGTTGCCCAAATTGCCACAGAAAGTTTACTCAAGTCTCTAACAAGGAAGATCGTTAGAAGGTTTAAGACGCTCCGGAGGGTTGCCTCGGAGGGTACCTTGATCACTCAAGTTACTTCGGAGGGTACCCTAATCACCCAAGTTACCTCGGAGGGTCCCCCTAAATTTACTAAGGAGGGTCAATAAGATGCTTAATATGCTCCGGAGGGTTACTTCGGAGGGTACCTCCAAAATTTTCAAATTTTTCGATCTCGCTTAGAAGGTTCTCCCCCTCGTTTCAAAAAGCGTCAAAACAAGCTAGGAGCTCTAAGGGGAGCTGTTTTAACTTCTTGGGGTGATCTCGTGGAAATTTTCCACTAAGGAGGGTTGCTAAAGGGTTTAGCTGACTCCGGAGGGTCACTTCGGAGGGTTCCCCCAAAATCAAGAAAAAGGGTTATATCACCGTAGTAAAGCCTCTGAAAGCGGTCTACCTGACTTAAAACTAGGTTGGCTGACACGGTCAACCTTCCCAGTTGAATAAAAAGATGTTTTGATAAAATTTTTTGTCGCTCGGAGGGTTGCCCGTGATTTGGACCCTCCGAACCAACAAATTCTAAAAAATTTTTCTTTTCCGAAATAATCAACCCAAAAACGGTTGCGATTCGGAAAAGTGATCAAAAACGTCGACTTATGGTACCAAAATTATCCCGATCGGATTACTAGTCTTTGAGAAATCGCCAAAAACGTGTTCGTCAAAATGGCCTTTTTCACCACCTGTATAGGATCTGAAAGACTTTTTTCGCAATTCCGGTCGAAAGTGCCTAAAAATACTTGAAATGAGCGTAGTAGCCCTGTACGGCACTGGAATAATGCAAAAAACCGGACCAAAATTGGTTTAGAAACAAAAATTTGGCCAAAAACTATCAAATTTGGACCCTCCGATTCCTTCCTTTTCCAAACCTTAAGTCGTTAGCTCTATCCACGGAGCTACTCGGAGGGTTACCCAAAAATTTCTCTAGTAACCGAGCACGTTGTGCTAGCACGCTCCTAACGCAAAAAATTTTATTGCTCTAACTCTAAAAACTCAAAAACTCGATCCCCAAAACAGATTGACAAAATTCAAAAAATTATCGAAATTTTGACCGAAAAATTTTGGTTTTTTCCAACTTCTACTGAGTCTTTTCTCACGCGGTTTCGTTAGTTAGGGGGATCGAACTACGTAGCTACTCCCTATATAAAAGCTTTTTGCCTATCGGAAAAGCTCGGATATCCGAAAATTTGGGGGTCTACAGTTTGGTCGAAAATTGGTAATTTTCGACAAAAAATGGGTGTTTCTTGGGTCTAAATAGGAGATAAGTAATATATAATAAGGATAATAATCTATTAATAGTCGTTAATGAATAGTACTATACCCTCCTTTGCACCAAAATATCCGAATTAAGACCCTTAACTCGGAAATTTGTAATCGATGGAGGGTACAATCGGACCGCGCCAATCGTGCCCCCCACCACTTAAGTTTTAATGAAATAGTACCCGAACGATACTAAAATTGCTTCAACGATACCCAACAGTCGTTGCGGATGTTGTCCTTGATGTCCCTGTTGAGTGTGGAACACGTTGATCAGCTTGCCACTCTACCCTCCGGCCACCGGCAAAATTACCATTAACGTGCTTAAACACTCAAATTACACTCGAGGGAGGGTATCCAACCCTTCACCAAAACACACAATCTTTCTATCAGAAACGATATAAATCAATCTGAAACAACAACAAATAGGAAGGTCAGATCACATCTCGTCCGGAAATAACATATAAACTGTCACTTTATGTTTTTTACTGTTTTTGGTCTTTTTTGGATTTTTTTACTGTTTTTTGTACTTTTTTGTTTTTAAATAAATTTGTTTTTGGCTTTTTCTTGGTTATACACTATTTTTGTTTGGTTTTACGCTTTCTCTTTAGTTGTTTTTGGTCCGGGGACCTCGGGACAAGCGGGTTCATGACTTCCCACCTAACCCTCAGGCCCCCAGAATTTTCGGTGTTAACTAAGTTAAAAAGCTAAATTGCACTAGACGGAGGGTACGCACCTTCCCCCTAGTACAACAACGGTCATTAAGACCTCTAACTCGGGCATACGCCCGGAGTGGAGGGTTCGTCACTGAAACGCTTGCTGATCATGATGGTTTCATGCCTTTAACAGTCCCACCCAGGAGCGCCATGAAAACGTCTATGTAACATTCGCCCAAATATCACACAGCGACGGAGCGTAGAAAAAGTACCTATTAACGACTGGCAGGCGTCAGTTACCGTAATTCTACTCGTTTTTTACCGTCTCGACCTTGCCAGTTGATTTTCTGGTCTGTCTAGGGCAAAGTAAAAAGTTACCATTTTTAGGCCATCAGTCAAACGACTTTTGATCAGCTTTCGTTTACATGCGAACACAACCACATAGCTGAGTCTCGGATCCTCAGACTACGTGATTGTCATTAAAAACACGGCTCGAACAACCTATTTTTATATGTTTTTGTGTGACAGTTTTATATTAAATCCATTGGAGATGGATTGACCCTTTCCTTTTTCTATCTACTCATGTCCTGAAATATCAAATAATATCGGTGTTTAATTAAGATCTAGGTCATTACAGCAGCTGTTAAAGTTAGTTTATACAGTCCCTTCGCATAGACAGTCTCTGGGGGACCAAGCCTCCGCTCCCGTGATTTTCTTGAGATAACACTCTTATCTCTTATATTTCGTGTCCCGGGAGGGTTCCGTGGTATATTTCTTCCCCCACTGAAGCCTCCGTCTCCACAAATATCTGTCGCTAAGGTCCTTATCGTGTGTTTTTGCCACGATAAGAGGCTACGTGTTTTTCTGTCTCTGATACAACTGTTCTTCACAATCTATATCGTGGTTCTGATTTTCATCTTTTTTATTCAAAATGGCCGTCTTTTTTCTATTTCTCAGAAATGTTCTTCTTCCAATCGAAATTTTAAAAATAAAAATTCTAGAACATTCTGACCCTCCTTCGCAACACTTTTTCGTTCATAAGGCCTTTAGCCGTCCTTTTTTACGTCGCCGGAAGGTTGTGCTGTGTCATCTGGCAGAATGGCACAAAATTTCGGCTTAATTAATAAATTCAAATCCAATCAAGCAGCCGGAGCATCTGTCGTAGACGTAAAACAATTGCTTGAGATGGCAAAGTATTGTGGTTCGAATGCGGCCGGGCCTTTTTTGCAAACTTCATTGCTGTGTTTTCCTTGCTTGAGACGACAAATCCCGCGAGTTCGTTTCCAATTGAGATTTGTTTTTCTTGCTAATAGAACTTTTTGGCTAATTTAGATTTTTGTCTGTCTGCTTATTTTTGTCTGATTAGTTCTACAGATAGGACTCTTTTTGAAAACATGGCTTACTTACAGCAATCCCAAAGCTCTTTAGAGTTTCTAATGGTGCACGCACTTTTGTTCCGGATATTTTGGGCTTTTGTTGCAATTGTTATTGACAAAAACGATTTTTTTAAAAAAATTTTTTCTGTTTGATTTTCATATTGTATCGCAAGTGGTTCGAAGCTCAGCTTCGCCTCTGTGTTTCAATTTATAATTGCTGGCAATTCAAAGACATAATGTTTCACAGTTTTTTGAGTTCAACCGATTCAAGAGTAAACGACATTTTCCTTCAGTAGGAGCTTCTGTTTCGCTGCAATCGTCCCCTAATAGTTCCCAATTGACAAAACAGTCTTGCACTTAAATCTTAGTTTTTGTTATCATTAAACTGCTTGGTAATTTTGTTTTCATTAAATAGCTTGGCTTTGTTACCGCCTGGTAATTTTTTTTTCGATTCGAGTTTCACATTCTTTTGGCCTGGCACGTTTTTGTTTCAAATCTAGCCTGATTCATTTTGATAGATATCGTTGTTTTTTACATTTAAATTTTTTTTCGTTTTTTGTGTGAAAATTATTTTGTGAAAAAATTATTTCTAGATATGTGATTTTTCAGATCTTGGGATGGGCTCCAAAGAATCAAAACCCAACAAGAACGGTTAGTTGTTCATTTAACTGATTGATTTGATTTAACTCCTAATAAAGTTTTATTTTTTTGTTTTCAAATATATTTTTCATATATTTTTTTATCATTTGGGTCTTATAGACAAGCGCGAAGCAGATCCTAATTTCACAGGACCCATAGCGGACAGGTGCGTTTCAGAGTGAATAGCTGCGTCTTTCTGCTGCTCCTGTCTTTTCATTTTTCATATTGTTTCAGGGGCTGCACTGATGTAATTTGCTGTTTCGTATTTTCATTCAGTATTTTGCTGTATATAGTGGTCGGAATAATAGGTATGTATCCTTTTCTAATAACTATCAGAATTTACCCTCCTCCCCTTCCCATAATAGTAATACGTTAAACGAAATTAACAAGGAATGCATAATTGAAAACAGATGCTAAGAAGGGTTAGACAAAAGAAAGCGAAAAAAAACGTTTTCTATTGACATCAAACAAGTGTTTAAACAATTTTGCTGCTTATTGTTTTCAAATAGGGTGACCGGTCTAAGAATAGAATGGGCCTAGAGCAGAATAAACTAAATCTGATCGGTTAATACGAAATGAAGGTGGAATTCCTCATATGCGAAGGACCGAATACGCGAAAACTGAAATCAGCCAATCAGATTGCGTCGATTTAAAATTTGGAAAGAAAACTTTAAAATCTGAAAGAAAGTAAACATTTCAAGGGACTTAATATTGATATTGACCGAATTTAAAAACGGCTGAAATACGCAAAATTTTGCTTTTCAGCTAATTTTGTTTTCGGTCCTTCGTCCGTCAGTTTTTCGCCCATTCGTTCCTTCGCGCATGAGAATAGCCCCCTTCAACAGGCGCTAATTGTGCACGTTTTTTTTTGCGCCGCATTCATAAGAAGAGTAAAGTTCAGACCTTGTTCTTTGTAGGCAATGCCTTGGCAACCAAACGGTCTTGCTTTAGTGGGTATGGGAATCGATTTGAAATGTTTTAAAGAACTGTTTTTAACAGCGAACGCTCAATAGCCATGGCAAACACTTAATTTGATTGGGATCAGAACATTATAATTCAACCTGGTTTAATCAGTTGAATGTGTCTAGGATTTTACTATGGTGACCCTGCGCGTCTGCTGAACCCAAGTGACTCAGAAGGAAATATATGTGGTGATGCAAATGAAAACTCACCCACTGGGTGAGTTGCTTCTTATCCTTTGGCCTCACTGAGGATCGGTCTGTTTAAATAGTCAAGTTTTGTTCAGGAGAGATATGAGTGACAAGCCCTATGTGCACATGTTCGATATTTCAAAATGCTCGGCCATTACGAAAGTAGTTGCCTCAATGGAAATAGCTTGCCCTACAACTTCAGTGAGTTGACAGCAGAAATGCTTTACAGCATTTGATGTAATTACTCTTGCGATAAGCAAAGGTTGTGGCAACCATGTACAATGTACTTTTTTCGCCCCGTAAATAATTTTGTTCACAGAATTTGCACGTAAGTGTTTTACTTGCATTGTAATAAATTCAAGGAGCAGTCTGTATATTTGGCGCAGTGGTGACACCCATGCTTCAGATGACAGAGCCCGGGAATTAGATTTCAGTCGGGACCTATTTTTTGCATGATTTCATTCGGGATCTATTTTTTTGCGAAAACTAAAAGTGTTCGGCTATTTAAGACTATATCGTCTGTTTGCTTGTTTTTGTTGGCTTTTTTGGAGGTTTGACTTCTCTCTAGCATTCCAAAAGCTCCTTGTAAAGTTTTTTATAGTGTAAGTATTTTCTCAGGACTTTTAAAAAATCTCTTGTTCAATTTTCTTGCAATTTTTTCTGACGAAAAACGTTCTAGTGAAACAATTGACGAAAAACAATTTTTCAGTTTTTTTCCAGTTTTTGGTTTGTAGTTTCATTTGCCTTTAATCATAATCTTTCATTTTTGTAGCGCAAGTTTTGCGATGATCAGCTTGGCCTCTGTTTAACATTTTAGTGCAAAAAGTTGTGCTTTTTCCTTAATTGGGTTCAACAGATCAAGTTCAAATTTAACAGGTGTGCGTAAAAGAGTGTCCATCCTCTAACTGGGCGGGAATATTGGACGTTGCCAAATACGATGCAAGCCAAAGCATAGATTACAGCAAATACATATGCGAGTACGACGTGTCTCCTGTAAGTTTGTCCACATGACTTTTTGTTGGCAATATTTTCATTGGTCAACGAATCTGCAGTCATCGGTGCTGCAACTACCTAAGATATATGGCTGTAATAATGACATGTTTCATTGAAAATTTAAGAAGGGTGCTACCGATTCGTGAATGGCAATATATATATTTTTTGCCATTCAATCATAACTTGCTAGAGATGTTATTGTTTCTGGAACATCCTCGCAAACAATGAGCACACTCAAAGCCAGTCTTTGAAAAGCTCATGACGTAAACTACACCCGCGACTGTTCCTTAATTAACAATATATGAAAATTTCAAATTCTTACGTTGAGGAAAAAACATATGATGGGCAGTCAAGATCTTAATCTATTCAAGAACTAATTTTGGATCCAAAGTTTCCAATATGCGTAGTTGTTTATGAGTAAGTGCAACTTCACAAACTGCTCTCAAACGAGTTTCAATTGTTGTTAGAAAAAAATTTGAACTAATGTTTAAATGTTAGTTGAAGTGAATTGAAAGGCGCTGTCGTATGTTTTGAGGCTTTAATGGCATAGTTTGTATAGGGAACTGGAGATGGCGAGATTAGTAACCCGAGAGATCTAATATTTCCGGCTGATGAAGGAGGAGATGGTGTCTGTGGCGCATACTACTTTAAAGAAGAGCCATGTAAAAAATTTTCATTCCTTTTCAAGTTATATTTGGTTCTCCTGTTTCCGTTCTTGGGTTTCATATTTGATTTCATATTCTTAAGTGTTGATGACCGAAGGGATTAATTGTTGTACAGGAAAACGCTTAAATTTTTAACGGTTTCCCATGATTTTTTAGTGACAATTAAATTCATTTGCTTAAACGAAGGCAAGTTACGCCTCCAACTGCTTAAATTCGAGAGTGAATTTTAATTTTTAGACTTCCCAGCTGTATGAAAAATTTAACTATTGATCCAGTTTTTTCTTTTGGAATATTTTGTATCACAAAAGTCAATCATAAATTCCTGATATTCGAAATGCTTTAACCTGATTTTTTTTTCAAAAATTGAAAACAGTCAATCTGTCTGTTGGCTAGGTTTATATTTAATGTTATTGTATTTGGGGGTTTAGTGTTGAAGAGATGCATCCCGAGTGTTCTAATTGATATCGTGGTTGTCACTCAAGAAGCATACACGATAATGGCGGATAATGGGTCCACTGTGGACTTAGGCCCACTCTCAAATACAGGAGCCGTAGAGGCAGTCACTGGAGCCACCATGAAGCTGATCGGAGAGTGAGTTTTCATTCCATTCATCGGAATAGTGAATGATGATAAGTTATCTATTGTTGTTAAAGACATCTAGTGATGGGGAAGCACTTCTTCACTGACATTAAAAATATGGTCGCAACCGTGAAATGATTATTCCATAACATGCACAAGTATATCCAGGTTTTTTGCAAGTAGCAGGTTACTTGCAAGTAGCACATAATGTTTGAACACTAAGGGTTAAGTAAAAAGTTAAAAATAACAAAGGTATCCTCGAAAAATCGGAAGATGTTTTTTATTTTCATTCTTTTTATAGTTCCGGGTAGATTTCAGTGAGTGGCAATTGAATTTTGCTCGACACAGACATGGTTATATATTTTTTACAACAGAATTACGAATGATGGGCTCTAATATAATACCACACTTAATCCCTTGGGCCAAATTTGATCTTATGCGATTTGATTTTTAATTTCTTTTCAATTTAAATTCATTTGCTAAAAACGGCGAATTACGCTCTAATAACGGAAATGGCGAGTAAAAACGTGTATAAACTTTAGTTTCCAAAGAGAATATCAATTTTAAGATTTCCACCGGAATAAAAAGTTTACCCATTGATCCACTTTTCTCAAATTGAGTTAATGTTATCGCAAAATTATCAATCATAAATGTTCTTGAAATTCCTTTACTTTACTTGAAATTATTTTTCTTCGAGATTCGAAAGTAATGAATACTTAAAAAAAAACACTCATTTTTTAATTTTCTTTGCGTTCAATGACATTTGTCCAGCTGCTTACTGGCTGTTTTTTTTTTCTGTGAACGTAATTCTATTAGTTTAGTTCAGTATCATTACGCTTGCGATAAGCAAGCGTTATCAAACTGGAATATTGACTTATTTCGGGTTAACAACTTGTTTAACAGAATCATTTGAATCAATTGGTATCTTGGCTCATAATGAATTCAATTTTCGAAGCGTTTACGGGACACTTAGTATGAAGGCTACCAACGCGTCTGGGACTCCAGAGGTCGTGGGATCGAAACTGACCGGTCCTGTTTTTTTTTCAAACGGGAAATAGTCCGTTTCAAAAAAATTGGCGGCTTATTATTGTCTGCTAATGTTTTGTCGGCTTCGCTGCCATAGCGTAGTTTTTTTAAAAAAATTTCTGACATTATAGTTGCTTTTAGTGTTCTGATTAACCTCTGCGGTTTTGTAATCGGTTTTGTTATATATATATATATATATTTTTTTTTGTTTAAAAACTTTATTCTTCCCAAATTATTTCGGCCTATTTTTATGGGCTTAGTGATCTAATTTTGAGTCGTTTCAACGGAACATATTTTTTATGCTCTTCTGGATCGCGCAAAATCTTTAATTTCTTAAAGAAATATAGTTCAATTTTTTCATGATAACCATTTTTTTCGGCTTTTTTGATTTGTAAAGTTTTTATTCGGCTCGATAGGTTGCGGCGTATTTTGTATTGGCTTGTTGGCCTCATATTGCCTCTTTCGACCTCATATTGCTCAGCTTCGCCTCTATGTAAAAAAAAAACTAGTTTGACAATTGTATTCAGTTCATTAGCAAGCCTTTTTCGAACACAATGCGTGCAATTTTTAGTGCTATGGAGTCGTATTACGAGGCTCACGGGGTGGTGATGCAGGTGTTGGATGACTTCGTGGACTCGTATGTGATGCTGATTGTGTTCATGTGCGTCTCGTGCTGTGTGGTGTTTCTGGTCATCGTGATCATGCGCTTCATTGCAGCTGTCGTCATATGGACACTGTTGATTGTAGTCCACGTGGCACTTGCAGCTGGTGAGCAGAAGACCTTTAACTTTTTTTAAGTTTGAAGATTCGATTGATTATAACAGCAAAATAGAGGGCAATACTTAAGAATTCGCATATGATAGATTGCATTTACAGCGTGAGAGAACAAGAACATATAATGTAAAAAAAATAAAGGATTTGATTACACTAGCTGGAATTATGTTGAAAGTTTTTCTCAGTAGAAATTGTTAAATTAGTTTCGTTTTATTGATTCAATTATCGATTATCTTTTTTTTTTTTTAGAAAAACTACTTAATACTTACCAAAAATTGTCATGGACAATGTCAGTGAAAGCAGTAGTTCTCTGAAATACATGTGCCAGCCGTGGTATATGCTGCTGAATTTGATTTAGCTACATACTACTGTTACGTGAAGTACGTGGAACTGAAGTCGGACGAGACAGCGGCCGAGGATCCGAACAACTACAGCATCAAGGCCAATGTGGCCTACTACTCTGGACTGTACGAGACGTGGTTCTACACTGGCATAGTGTGTGCAGTACTCTTGGGAGTGATGTTGCTGCTGACATGTTTCCTCTGCAACAGAATCAGACTGGCTATTCAGGTCATTGCCGAGGCTAGCAGGTTGGTTACATTTTTTTAACGATCCATTGCTTTTTATTTTCTTCGTTTCTGTTAGGAAAAGGACGTGATATTAGGAGGCCCAATTAAATGCAAGAAGCCATAGAAAAAGTTAGCGTGAGTTTTGAGAATTCATAGATCAAAACGAGATTTTTTAAGAGCCGATCAACGTAGTTCGGACTCTTATATAGGTCGCGATGATTTTTATTTTTTTTTGTTCAGGAAAAGTCTTAAAATTTGTCCAGACTCAAATTTACTTCTTCGCGGTTTGACTTTTGATTTCTTTTAACTCCACTTCGTTCCCTTTTTTTTTATAAGGAAGGCAAAACTCGACTTTCGCACATGAAAAATGTAAAGGTCACGAAAAACGTGATCGACTTCTAATTTCGAAAAGGAAAATTAGTTTTCAGGTTGCACAGCGAAATAACTTGTATCCATTAATTCAGTTTTCTCAAATTGGGTTAATTTTATCAAAAAAGCACCATCATGGCTCTTCCACCGCCACCTATTTTTTAAAATTCGAAAGTCATTTTTTTTTAAGAGTAATGAACGTAGTGAAGACTGACATAGGTCTTATTGATTTTTTTTTCAAGAAAAAGTCTTAAAATATTTATGCACATAGGTATAATGCACTTCGTGAGTTCAATTGAAGTTCATCTGCTGAAAGTGACGTAAATAGCACTATCCAAACACGAACGTGGACATGGCGCCGAAAAGCGTGAACGATTTCTAGTTTCCAAAGTGGAATTTATTTGTAAGATTTCCAGGCGGAATAAAAACTTTACCTATTGATCCAGTTTTCTCAAGTTGGGTTAATGTTATCAAAAAACGCCAATCAAAAAGCGTTCTAGAAGTTCAAAGAGCTTACATGGCATCGATTTTTTTTCTTTGAAACTCGAAAGTTGAGATTTTTTCAACCAAGTCAGTTTTTTTTCTCTTTACTTCGTTCATTACTTTTCTGCTTACGTGCGTTCATTGAATCTTATCCAACTGTCTGTTGGCTATAATTGATTGCTGAGGCGATGCTTAGAAAAATAAGATTTTTACAGGAATTTTTACGTGTTCAAATGGGCGAAAAATTCTTTATCTGGCTTCATCCTGACCAGCTTAAGATCAATCGACTAATTGGCATTAACTGTACAGTAAATTTGTGCGTATGTTCAAGTGCCGTGCGCAGTATGATCTTCTCGCTCGTCTTCCCTTTCATCCCCTGGCTGATGCAATCTGTCCTGCTGCTCTACTTTCTTCTTCTCACTGTATTCGTGGCCAGCTATGAGGGAGATCCAGACTACAGGAATGCGACCAACACCTCCTCCAATGACAGCAGTGGAGAGGGAGGGGGAACATGCGAACCTGAAGTGCTCTACAAGAACGTAACAGACAGCGTGTCTGGTAATACACAGCAGATAGCTTATGTAAGTTGGGGCAGAGGAAGCTCGGATGATTAAGAGTAATGAACGTAGTGAGTACTCCTCTTAAATGGTCTGGCAGATTTTTTTGTTTGTTTTTCAGGGAAATCTTAAAACTCGTTCTTACTCAATTTTAATTTTTCGCGGTTTGACTTGTGATTTATTTTTAAGTACAGTGCATTTCTATTGTTAAAAGGAAGGCAAACTACTATCGAACAGCAAAATTGTAAAGGTCACTAAAACGTGATCGACTTCTAATTTCGAAAATGGAAATTAATTATCAGAATTATAATTAATAATGCAAAACTAGATAAGGTTATATAATCTGTCAAAAAAGTTCAAGAGTTTCGTAAGGTAAGCAAAAATTGATTCTTAATAATTGTTTGAGTAAAACATGTTATTAAGAGTCGATGGATGTAATTCAGACTCTTCTAAAGGTCCTGATGATTTTTTTCCCGTTTTTTGCTCAGGAAAATTCTTCAAATTTGTTCATGCTCAAGTTTGATTTTTCGCAGTTTGACTTTTGATTTCTTTTAAGTTCAGTTCATTTCTTTTGTTGAAAGGCAGGCAAACTCAACTAACGAACAGTAAACGTGATCGAATTTTAATTTTGAAAGGGGATTTTAGTTTTCAGGCTTACCAGCAAAATAAAAACAATCTACAAACTTAAATTGTTCTTGAAATTCAAACAGCTTCAAGGTCATATCTTGTTTATTTTAAAGTTCGAAAGTTGAAGTTTTTCAAAAAAACAAGTCAGTTTTTTTGTTCCCTTGCTTTCATGGACTCTGTTTCCAACTGTCATGTTTCGTTTAGAGCCAAGGTTTTGTTTGCAAAATTTAGGTCTGTTAGTATTGTCCAGCAATGAGGTTCAATGGATAATAGATTAAAATCTCTAAATGTTTGCCAAATTTTCAGAAAAATTTGCAGCTTTTTCTCCTTTGCTCTTATATGCTGCAATTCTAAACCTACTCATATTTAGTTAAATTTTGCAAAACCGTACTTTTACACCTAGCCTCAGTCACTTCCCCACCCAACCTACTCCCGCCCCCCCCCCCCCTCTCCCCACCCCACTTACTTACCCCTCCACTTTCCTCCTCCTCCACCTAGCCTCTCATTGAGCTCCCCCCCCCCCCCCCACAAACACCTCCCATCTCCCCCGTACGTTTCTATGGTAAGTGTTAATAAGGGGTAAGTGGTGGGGAGGGGATGTGGTGGTTAGTGAAGACAAGAGGGAGACAAGTAGAAAAAGGACAAGTAAAAAACTGTAGTTTTTTTGCTGTAGCCAAATGTAAAACACAATTGAGCGAGCGTGAAATGCACAGAGATTTTCTTGTCAAAACTAGTGTAAAGGTTGCTTCTGGACTGAAGAGTTCTTGCCATCAACATTTCATAGTAAAATTGCTCTAGTTTTCAGTTTTTGAGGCGAAGCTTGTAGTGCTATTGAAATAATCGTTACCGCAGAATTTTCTTATTTTGAAGGCCAGCAAATGCTGAGGTTCACAGAGTGTAAGTGATGAATATATATAATTCTAGTTCTGTCTTAAATCTCCATTTTCTGCTTCAAAGTTGGTTTCTGTCTGCCAAATGGTACCGGGTTGGTTGCAGAGTGAGCTTCGTTTGTAGAAGCAGAATAAGACATTGGGACATAATTTTTGCAGATTAATGTGCTCATTTTTAGGACGTGATCCTTTTAATGTGCTCATTTTTAGGAAGTCCTCATTTTTAGGACTCGTTGAAATAGTAACAGAATTTAAGAACTGATTGAAAGACCGTTTCAGACTGGCAACTGCTACTTCCAGCAGTTCATAGGTCAGGACAAACTATGGGCAGTACATCTTTTCAACCTCTTCATGACACTCTGGCTCGTGAACTTTGTCATAGCTCTCGGACAGAGCACACTGGCGGGGGGTTTTGCTGAGTGGTTCTGGACTAGGGGACAGCCCAGAGCATTTCCGGTGATCATGTCCTTTTGGAGAAGTATAAGGTTATTTGAATTTGATTAATGCTTTTAACTAAGTACAATCGAAAGATCAGCGTCATGCCCATCTTATACCAATTTGAGGACTGTAGTTTCTCGTCGTTTTCATGATTGATTTTCGATTTAATGGGCAATTTCTTGATTAGTAATCCGATTTAAAGTTGTATATCGAAATAGGTTGTTCAATGTATCATAGGTACCACATGGGATCTCTGGCGTTTGGAGCATTCATAATCGCAGTGATCCAGGTGATCAGGATCATTCTGGAATATCTAGACCATAAGTTCAAAGACAAGAAGAGCACGGTGGCCAAATTCGCCATGAAGTGAGTGTTCTCTCCTTGTACCATTTTATTTTGACCCAACTATCACTAATCTTTTTATCATGTTTACACTTGCGAGCAACGTAGTGTGTATTAGTACGAACCGTTAACTAAGCTAACACTTAAATAAAAGTGTTCATTTAAAGTGTTCTGTTATTTGAGGTAAATATTTGCTATAATCACGATCTGGGCAATTTCATAGCATCTGTTCTCTGCTTTATATGTGGCTAGTGTTTGTGATGTACTAAGCGTTTTTGGCTGAGTGGTTTGTGCGTGAGACTCATAAAATCTAGGTCGCAGTAGGTCCCATATCGAATCCGAGATGTTGCCTAATTTTTGTTAATTCGTGGCTTATTTGTACTTTTTTTATTGCAGTTTATAGAGCTGCTTTTTGTCTTGTTCTCACTAGCTTTTGCGAAGCGAAACTTCGATTCAGAAAATTTTTCAGTGCGATATGGAATTCTGTTTCAGATGTCTGAAATGCTGCTTCTGGTGTTTCGAGAAGTTTATCAAGTTTATCAACAAGAATGCCTACATAGTGGTAAGCGCGTTTCATAATGTTCTTTCGTTTTTTAGACATCATGATTAGGTATATTTTTGCATTTTGCTTGATCGTTGTATGCTATTGTGTGTTGTTTTTCAGATTGCCATATACGGTAGGAACTTCTGTCTTTCTGCGATGGACGCCTTCTTCTTAATCTTCCGCAACTCGGCCAGGGTTGCAGTTTTGAATGGGATCACAGCCTTCCTTATTTTCACCTGCAAACTCGCAATAACTGCAGGAATGGGTAAGAAACTGCTGTGGTGGCGCCTCTTTTTTGAGCTCAACCATTCTATATTGTGCATCAATTTTACCAGAAAATATATAAAAACTGTCATGAAAGTATTGCATAACATTTGAAATTATTGCATCACATTAGAAAAATCCTAGCTGACCTGTAAATATTCCGATATAGATGGAATATTTGAGTTGGTATTCTGATATAGTATTGAGTTGGTATTCTGATCTGTTTAAGGTTTCGCTGCCTTCGTTTTCTTCTCTGGACAAGTAGATGAAGTGAACGAGTGGGTGCCCGACCTGAACTACTACTTCACACCAATCATTGTCAGTCATCTACCTACTACACATAGCAATGCACATTGACTAAACTTACTGATGAGTTAACATTCATCCCTTGTTTGTTGTGTAGGTGATTGTGATTGGGACTTACATTGTGGCCACTATCTTCTTCGACGTCTACGACATGGCTGTCGACACCATTTTCCTATGCGTCTGTGAGTCCCAGTTCGACTTCATGTTTTTTTGGCTGATTTTTTATGCTATCGTATTTCTTCCAGCTCTAAAACGAATCTGCAGCTTTTGTTCATCTTTGTTTATAAATCATGAAAGTTTTCACAGTCACTAAAATTACACCAGTTATTAAGAGTATGAATGTAGTGAGTACCCTTGTTTTGGTCTTGTTGATTTTTTGTGTTTTTGTTTCAAGAAAAGTCACTCTCCTGTTCACTCTCAATCTTGATTTTTCGCTGTTTTACTTTTTCTTTTTAAGTTCAGTGCTTTTCCAGTGTTAAAAAGAAGACAAACTCAATCGAACAGAAAAAGTGGAAAGCTCATGAAAAATGATCGACTTCTAGTTTCGAAAGTGGAATTTAATGATCAGTTTTCTCAGTGAAAAAAAAGTTCTGTTGATCCAGTTTTCTCAAAATGGGGTATATCAAAAAAATGGCAATCATGAATTTTACTAGAAATTCTAAGAGCTTTAAGGGCATCTAAATTTTCTTCGAAATTCGAAAGTTAAGGTTTTTTCAAAAAACAAGTTAGGTTTTGTTCTGTTTCCTTGCTTTCATTACTCTTTTCCAACTGTCAGCTGACAATGTTGTTTCAGTGGAGGACATAGAAAGACATGATGGCAGTCCAGAGAAGCCATACTTCATGAGCACCAAGTTGCAGTCTCTGGTTGGGAAGAACAACCAGTTCAGCGAAGTACGCAAAGACAGCAAAGTATCAGTCGCCAGCGAACACGAAAAGCCACCTGAATGCGAAACTCAAGTTAAAGAAACTCAAATTAAATAACTAATGACGTTGTTTTCATCCTGAATACTTGACTAGCTTTAGAGTTGTGTTCTCCCATACGCTTCTATATTCTAGGAATGAAACACCTTTATGTTTGTGCAATTTATTTTAAAAATATCTGTAAAAATGTACAAAGTACCATTTTAAACTACTTAATTTGTCTGATTGACACATTTCAGGGCGACCGTTACCATATCATATCTATTGCCTTGAATATCATGTACAGCCTTAATTTAAATCCATTAGCAAGGCAGCTTTCTTGGATGCATTTCCAATAGCATATCAACGTGCAGTTTTTTGCTATTTTATTTTTATAGTTGGGTTAAATTTAGAGTGAATTTGAAATTCATATTATCTGCTTAATTTTGAAATAGTAAAATAGTATCTGCAATTTATCGCTTGGCACGAAAATGTCACAAACGTCATTGTAAAATCAATGCCCAGGAAATGAGCGATTGGCTGAACGCAAAAAGGTAACTAAATGTGCATTTTAGCTGAAAGCAAAAAGAACATATTGAAATATTAATAATTGAGTTTTTCCCCTTTCTTTTGGCGCAGATGGCAAAAACACAGCGCAATGTTGTCTTTGCTTTGTTTTGTAACCATGGAAGCCTTTCTCAAATCAAATAGACTTTGAACTAGAAATGGAGCGTTTTAAATGCGAAATTCCTTTTTCACTTTATCATGCTGAAAAATGGTGTGTCGAGTTTTCAATCGGTCACCAGCTAATTTGTTGTGCATAAATTGTGACCAATTCGTGTTAAACTTAATATTGTCGAAGAATAATAAATTGCCAAGAGTAATGAACGTAGTGAGTACTCCTATATAGGTCTTAGTGATATTTTGTTTTTGTAGCAAAAAAAAACTTTCAATTTGCTAAGATACGTTTGATTTTTCGCGGTTTGACTTTCACTGCATTATTTTCACTGCATTTCCTTTGTTAAGAGGACGGCCAACCCCACTATCGAACAGTAAAAGTGTGACGATACTCACGAACAAGTGATTGACTTCTAATTTGGAAAATGGAAAGCAATTATCAGAATTCACAGCGAAACAACGATTTTACCTATTAATCCGCTTTGGTCGAAATGGGTTAATTTTCTCAAAAAAAATGATCAATCAGAAAATGTTTGTTAAGTCTTAAGAGTGCTAAGAGCATATTTTTGTTCTTTCAAACTCAAAAATTATAATTTTTTTCAAATAAGTCAGTTTTTTTTCGGTTAACTTTTGTTCACTACTCTTTCCAACTGTGTGAAGGGTACGTTTCCTCTGAAAAAATCAAATCGATCAATTTTCAAAATCAAAATAAGTAAAAGAAATATGGCTCAAAATGATTCTACAACTGCCTGCCTTGCATTATTTATTGAAAAGGAAGCAATCGCAAGAACATAAATGTCATGACGGTCAATATCACTGTCATGTTTTCAATGAGCACCTTTACGGATTTTTTTGTTAGATGGGAATGAAGAAGACATCATAGTACTCATAAATTAGTACGTTATAATTATTTTTTATTGAAATAATAAACTTGTAATACTTTAAACATCGCCACATACCCCGAACTTGTTTTTTTTGGTCAAAAAGTTGGAGAGAAACGATTGCTTGTGACAGAGAATTCAAAAGCAGCACAAAAACATTAACATGGGATATATGGTTATAAGACCTAAAAAAAATTAAATGCACTAGCAGAGCATAGTGTCATATCAAGAAGCTCATTTTGTAATTTCAAGTCGAAAATAATTTTGATGGAACATTCGCAGTAAGCAATAACATTAAATCCAAAACCGTGAGTGGAAAAATCCGCATTTCAAGGTCCGATTTTTCCTTAACTATGAATGATTTTGTACATTTCTAGTATTTTGTCCCGCTGAAAGTTTTCAGTTGTTAGATACAAAAATATAAATAGCTCCAATGCTTTTTCCGCTTTTATCTTTAACAATTAAGTTCTCGGTCTTATTTGCTGTAAATGTCATAAAGTAGATCTAAATAATTGGATGAAATGGGTCGTCGATTTTTGACCAAAACTTAATGAAAGAATAATCAGATGGTGACCTGACCATCTGAGTAAATTAATTTAAGTCCACAGGGAAAACAACAATTGGCCAATGCAAACAAACTCAAGCGAACCGAAATTAAACGAGCGCGAAATTGAACGCGCTAGAAATTAAAAATTGGCGTCTTAATTTCCAATAACAAGAACCCATAAAAACTCAAAATCAAAACTGAGGGTATAAACTGCTGTAAAAATGAACCATCACTACAATTCTCCAAAGATGGTTAAGCTAGTTGGTTATTCAGTTCTGGTCGCGCTCTTCCTGCAGCTGTCGCATTCAACGCCCGTACAACCGGTGGTGAGGTACCATGGACCGGAGCAAATTCACATCTCATATACAGGTTAGGTTAGCATAATGAATTTAAAGGTCATCGAAGTGTCGCTCGATGCTTGAAGGTGAGGCATCATTTCTTAGCCCAGAAAATTAATTAAAACTGATGTGCACTCTTAATCATAGGCGAAGTATCGATTCTTTGCCGGGAGCTCATTACGAGGCCAAACTGTGCACTGGATAGGCGCACAATTTTGTGTCTTTATGTTCCTGGATTCCAGAGACAAGTCTTAAAACATGTTAAAACTTTGCCGGAACGATCAAAGAAAATGAAAGAGCCAAAGAAGAACAAAGGGAGCGTCCTTGTTGCGGAGTCCGCTTACAATGCACAAAATGCACAGTTTGGCCTCGTAATGCTGAAAAGCGCGGATGTTGCCGTTCATTTTTTCTTGAAATGTTGTAATTGACAACTGGCCATATGAAAAATGTAAAAATGAGACGATTGCAAGCCTAATCAATAAACTATGTGAGTTGATATCGAGTTTATTTCCAATTTTCTTTAAATTTTAATCTAAATGTGGTCTGTGTTTCCCAGGAAACCTGTCCTCGATGTTTGTGACGTGGACTACAGTAGTGTTCTTCGGAGAAGGGTCAGTGACATTTAAGCTCTCGTCTTCTGATTGGATGACAGCCAATGCCACTGTGACCACAGTGGATCACTACGACAGTGACAACAGTGACCTGCACAGGACCAGCTATGTGTTCAGGGCCACTATGGAGCCACTCAAACCAGACACTGTCTATGGAAAGTTACTGTTCCGAAACAAATTGTAGCCCACAGACGAGAAGGACTACATGAATAGGCTGCTGTGTTCAATCAGAACCCCCAATTATTTGTTCCTTAAATTGAAACTTTTTGCATCCACCCACAGGATGAAAGTGAAAAATATGTATAATTATTAAATCTCCATTCATCAGTTTTTGATCTAAACGATGAACGATTGTTTTTTTTTTTTCATTTTTCATATTTTATCCAGTAAAAGATTTTCCCTGTTGCAGAGTACTACGTGTCAAACGGAATCCTGAATAGTGGGAAATTCAGCTTCCGAACTTTTCCTCCCAATGAAAACTACAAGCCCAAAATTGCAGTGTTCGGAGACTTGGGTCTCAAAAACCACGTCGCACTCGACAAACTGGAACAAGAAGGGCAAAAACGAAAATATGACGTCATTTGGCACATTGGCGACTTCGCGTACGACTTACACGAACTGATGGGGGCACGTGGAGACGCCTTCATGAACTTAATTCAACCAATTGCAGCTCGATATGCGTACAGTGTGATTCCAGGAAACCATGAGACGAAAAACAACTTTTCCGAGTACAGAAATCGATTCACTTCGCCGCCTCCGAACGTGTTTTTCCACAGTTATAACATTGGTCCGATTCATTTGGTGATGTTTAATACTGAGTTTTACTACAATAGTCAATTCGGCACGGCTCAAATTCAGGTTCAAAATTTTTCAATCCTTTTCGAATTGTAGTTTCAATTTTTGCAATGAATAAAAAGGACTTTTTGACGCACTTTCAGTTCTATTTTTTCTTCAAATTAGCAAGCATCGATGGAAATTTGCAATTTTTTAGACGCAGTACAACTGGCTTGTTGAAGATCTCAAAACTGCCAATCTACAAGCTAATAGAGAGAATCAACCCTGGATAATAGCAGTGGGACACCGTCCCATGTATTGCAGCAGTCAACACTACGGAGACTGCAGACCCGACAACCTCATCAGAACTGGGTACCAAAATAAGTACTACAACCTAGAGAATCTTTTCTTCCAACAGGGAGTCGACTTGCAAATTTACGGTCACATGCACAACTATGAACGAATGTACCCCATTTATAATTTCACATTCGAGAAGGTCCCAGATCCCAGTTTGTATGATGATCCGAAGTACCCGGTTCATTTCGTGTCGGGGTCGGCAGGGAACCGAGAGATTCATCCTGGGTTCTGGTATCCGGAACCCAGATGGTCGTTCTTCAGGAGCAACGACTACGGTTTTGCGTATATCGAAGTGGTTGGACGGCTAGAACTCAAAATATCCCAGTATTCAGTACCAAAGGCGAGGAATATTGATGAATTCACAATTAAGAAGTCGGGATCTTACCCAAAATTTATTGAACAAGAAATAATACAGAATATGTGAAGGTCATCATCATGAAACACGTCACTACTATTTTTTCTGAATTCCTCATAGATGAATTAAATATTAAGTCCCTGATATTTTTCAAAATAAGTATATCAAATTTAACTTGTGATGAGAAATGTCACACGGCCATTTTAACATCAGTTTGAAACAAAAGCAGGTTGCTAGATGGTCCCCCTTTTGTACTATTTTGAGATATCCAATTTTGGTGACGGACCATAAATTTTTTCTAAAGACGCTTTTGGCACCAATATATACTAATTTTAAGGGGGGAGCGCAAGTTTTTGGTCAAAATTTTTGCAAAAAGTGACTAAAAACGCCTTTTTTGAAAATTTTTTTTTGAAAATCAGCCAATCCTCGAGATAATCTTAAATCCGCCCCTGAACTTGAATCAAAATTGTTCATCCGAGCAAACGAAATGAATGAAAATTTGTCAAATTTTAAAACTTTAAAAACTGTTTTAAAGACTTTTAATTCGCATTTTGTTCTATTTGCCTGATTTGAAGCTTTCTGGCCATATAAAAAAAAGAACTATAAAAAGTTTTGGATGAAAAAACATTTATCATACAATTTTCATCCATGAAAATAGTATGATAAGCATTTTGTTATAGGGTTTTTTATTCAAAAATCTCTCTTAAAACATGTTTCAGTAATTACAAATGATGTTAATGAAGGTTTTCATTGACAAAGAGCTATTTAACTATCAAAAACATGACTTTAGTTTTGTTCGAAAAAAGGCTTATCATATAATTTTCATTTAAGAAATAGTACGATAAGCAATTTTTTAGAGAAAAATAGGAAAATTCAAAAATCAATTGAAACGTTATTTGGGCAATTTGAAATGAGTTTATAAAGGGTTTTCAGCTTACTGTCAAAAAGATTGGTCGGAAAAATGCTGATCATATAGTTTTCCTATATGAAATTGTACGAAATGCATTTTTCATAGAAAAAAAACACAAAATTGAGATAAAAAATTGTTAATCCCTTTTTTGGCTGCAAACATGCTTTTGTGCAAACATGCTTTACGAAATAAAAAAAAATTGCATGCAAAATTCGATTTTTTGTGTTTAAAACGTATTCAAGGATCAGGATGATCTTTCCACCCAAAAAATCTAAAAATCACGATTATAATTTTTTTGATTCATATGCTAGGATAAAGATAAATTTGTAAAAAACAGACCTTTTTTCTCAACCACCAAAATTTTCAAATTAAAAATTATCTAGCCATTTACAAAAAGTTTCATTTTTTTGATATTTAATTCCATGTGACAATTTTATATTTAACATACATGGCTAAAATCACCAAATGCCGTTCATCTGCGTGGTACCTGCCAGTTACTTCCGGGTTTTTCTATGACCTTGATATGCGTTTCGGATAAAACACAAATTTTAAATTTTAAAACAAAAAAGTTATACAATTTCATAATGTGGAAAAATGCTTTTCATACAATTTCATAGAACGAAAAGCTGCTTTTGTTTTTTTTTCATAAATTTTTGTGATAAACAGTATGGCAAAACGCTTGTTATTGAATTCCAGATTGTGGCAAAAAAGGCTTATTCTAATGTTTCATAGTTTGGAAAAAAAATTAACTTGCCATTTTATTGGTATTTTTTGATGTATAAAATAGTATGGTTAGCTATTTTGTCAATCCGGGAAGTGGTGCGAATCTCTGCCACGCCTCTGTGTTGAAAAGATCTGTCTGCATCTGAATTTGGAAGTTCAGTCTTCCTGGCGTTATTCGCCAGTCAATCATAATTCGTTTTCTTGTTGTTGAAAAGCACCCGTAAATGTATACAAATGGATTTAATACTATGATCTGGAAGTTGTTATTCGGGAAGTAAACTTGCCACTCTCCTTAACTGGCGCAAAAACTGATAGACAAAAATAAAAAAAATAATTGGCGCGGCGTCAAACTGTTTCGGGCTATTCAGACATTTTGCTTTACTAGTCGTTCTTACCACGAGAAAGAAATTGAAACCAACATAATCTTTATCATAGCCTAATGAATCAACCGGATAAGTCCGAGGGTATGGTTTTCAGATGGGGATAGGCTGACTAACCCTAAAATCTTAGGGTACATTCGGCGCCAATATGTACTAATTTTGATCAAAATTGTCCAAAATGTTAAAATTTTTTGGCCTGTTTTTTTTTAATTTGCCTGCGGCGGAGACAAATTAGTCAAAACTGGGTCTTTATAGTGATTTGGGAGAGCTCAGAAAATCAATTTTGTCGACACCTAAAAAAGCCGTCAAAACTTTCTAAATTTTTGTGAAAGTCTACCCCTTCTCGAGAAAATCCTATTCGACCCCTGCGTGTGAGATATTTAAGAGTTATTGAATAGATGGAAAACAAATTATGACCAAAAAAATCATTTTTTTTCGAGTTTTAAAACATTGCTGTCAATAACAATTATACTCTTTTTATTATATGCTTCAAAAAAGCGACTTTACTTATAGCTATTCGTAAAGTATCTCTAGCTTTCGTAACTCTTTTACGCACAAAAATTTATTTACGTCACTAACCTTTTGATAAACAAATAAAACTTTTCTCTTAAGTTTTTTTATCAACCATATACAAATTAGACCACAATACATGACAGAAACAAACTACTGCTCTCAGCCAAAGTTCGTTACTCTCTGTTAAAAGAGAACCATTTTGATTTGGATCAAGATCTACAAACAAAAGTCTGTGGGCATGGGCTCAAAAATAGGGAAGCCTAAAAACGGTGAGCTAAAGTTTACCTTGCTGTCCAAACCATCACCAGAGAGATTCTAGACTCAAAAACTATTGCTTAACGAAAAACACTAGGTTTGTATAAGGTTTTTTTTTCAGAGGAGAGACAACATGATCCGAAGTTCGGAGGTCCAATTAAAGACAGGTTAGATACAGATAAAAAATTTTAACTGAATACTTGATGTGTTCATTTGAAATTAGCCCTCTATAGTATTTGAACCTAATTCACTCAACAAATGAGCTATGTGATCATCCATTCATAATACTTTGCAAAAGGAATTTTTAAGAAAAAAGTGAGGTTTTGAACTGATGAGACTTTTCAAATATAGCAAACTTGACAAAATTGTAGTGTTTTCCTTTGCTCACATTATAGAGGGTGTACCGACGTCATCTGCCTGCTGATATTCTTCGCAGCAGTCTTCCTGTATGTCATTGTCAGCACTGTTGGTAGGTTCATTTAAATTTAATCTCCAACCTCCATTTTATTATTGCAGCTGATTATGATTAAAATTAGGTGTTTGTGTTTTGTAGCTTTCTACTATGGCAGCCCGCTGATGTTGATACTTCCCAAGGACTCGGATGGGAATGCGTGTGGGTTCGACAACAGAGAACGCATCGCACTCGGGCAAGTAATTGTCAGCACTACCTTTCAAAAGTTTCTACTTATGCGTTTCTTGGCTTAGGCTTTTATTGAGGCAGTTTTCCCAGATGTAAATTTTGTATACCAGAACCCGTTATTATTTTAGTTTTTGATATTCTGTCAAGATTCAACAATCTAACATTGTTCTGGTGAAAACTCGTAGAAATGATCATTTTAAAATTTCTAACGAACTCGAGGTGTAATAGTAACAAAAAAAAACGTTATTAAGTGGACGGGCCGGGGAGCTTAAAGTGTGCCGTGGCAAGTGTAGCAAATAAGCTGATGACAAAACTTCCAATTGTGAACTACAGCTTAATATATTGACCTTTTATTGCTTCAATCATTATTAAAGCGTATGTTTTAACTTGTAGGGTGGACATGACTAATAAGCGGTACCTGCACATGTTCGACATCACGAAGTGTACCAACATCGCCTCCAATGCGGTCATCACGGGGGAGATTGCATGTCCTACCACTTCAGTCAGTAGAACACATTTAGAAAATCGCAAAAAGTTGGAACCGACAAAAAAATTAATTAAAAATCAAAAATCAAATGAGCTATTTCAGGAAAAGAGTGGGACAAAAATGCTACTATTTTGAATCTACAGGCCTCTTAAAGACTGGAGATAGGAGGTTACTTTTCCCAGAGAAGACAGAAGTCATTGCTAGAAAACAGTAGTTTTTTTTTTTGATTTTTCATGTCTTAACCTTGATGAAAAAATTCTTTAAAAAATGCCAACTTATTGATGAAATCTTCCTTGACTCAAAACACATCACTATAACCAACAAAAGTTAGTAAAAACTAAGCAATTCATTGAGAAATTAGTAAATTTAAATATAATTTTGAAATCAAACTTGTTAATAAAGAAAAAGTAATTGATTTGTAAAAAGAACCTGAGCCCGTCTGAAAAATTGAGCCCGTATAAATAAAAAATACTTGTGAAAACCCAAAATAAAACAAAAGTCGCCAGCAAAAACTTATTCTGCTTGGATTCAAACCCACTTAGATATAAAATATTCATCAATTTAAATCTTTCTTCAGTTGAAATTAGAACTTACCTGAGCTAGAAAAAAGCTATTCGCCTTCTCAAATAAACCCAAAATTACCCTAGTTAACTAGAAATTGAGCCCGTCTAAAAATTATTATCATAAGAACTCATTCATCGGTTGGCAATACCCGAATAAATGAATTAACTGTCGATTTTAATCATTCTTCAGTTGGAATTAAAATTTATCATAATAATAACTCATTCTTCGATTGAAATTACGCAAACTGTAAAGAGAATTTGAGCCCGTACAAAAAATTTAGGTGCTTGGAAATATCCATCAAGAAGAAAACAAATTGGGCTACCCAAATCGATTTCGCCTTAAAACCAAATTCGCCATGAATAAATTATTCGTCAATTTAATTGATTCTACAAAAAAAATAAAAATGACCAGCCAAAAATCAAATTTTGATGAATTCTATAAGCTAAACAAACAAGCTTTCTACAAAATTTAATATGATCTTTATGACCTAAAAAAAGGATTACATGAAAATCATTGAAGTAATCACAAAGGTGAGTGGCAAACGTGAGTGGGCAACTACAACTGAAGCAACTAACCAGACTACCAACGCCAAGATGCGTGAGTTTAAAACTCTCAAAATCCCCGATGAATCCCAAAATTTGACTTTGGGATCCATTGTCACGGCTAGAAAAAGAAAGGAAACTATGCTGATTGACTCATTCCATCCTGTTGTCTAAAAAAGATAATGTGAATGAGTTTGCAATCAAACACCAGAAACAGGTTGATAATTTTACCTATAAGCTTACTCCTGGTTAGATTGTAGTGTGAGATACCTCCAATTTTAAATAATGAGGAGACATTTTTCATGGTTGAGTTATTTAAGGACTACTAAAAGGACAATAGCATTAGTAAACCAGGTTTTCAAGTTCTTAACCTCGACGCTATGATTAGAAATATCAATAACTGGAGCTTTCTATATTGGGATATGGTTCATCTTAATGATGATCATGGTGTAACTTTTTGCGCAATTGCCTTCATGCAGTTGTATGCCAGTATTCACAATATCTGCCACGATCAAAAACTGTCGAAAATTATATCAGTCGCCCTCAAAATAGCCTCACTAATCGCAACAACCACTGCTCTCGAACCCGTACTTGTCATCAAAATTTGAATAGGAAAAACAAATCACCATGTAGAGCGGGGCCATTATCCATATCAACTGAGATGATTTCATGAAGAAAGTCTAGGATTCATTTGAAACAATTCATTTGAAATAAAACAGCTAGTAATCTCTCAATTGTTGAATCAAAAATCGAATTGTACTTTTTTCCATGGGTTGCCACAATTTATTCCAATAAATTTTCTTCTGTGCCTCTCAATCGCACTGTAAATTTTAAACTAGTGCCTCTCAAGCGCACGATATGTAGCTATTACTTACCTACGTTTAATAAAATTGTTTATATATGTTTTTATATCTTACATCAACTGAACTTTGCAGCGCCTTTTCTCGATCAAAGCAAAACTTAATTAATCAAACAGGTGATATTCACCCAATTCCGAGTCCACCAACAAAATATAACAGCATCACAAAAAAAAATTTTGAACTACAAAAAATCATCAAAGTCTTACATTCAAACTGTAGAAGCTTGGCAAGGAAACGTTCAGATCTGAAAACACTTGTGAAAACATTTGGCTTAAAAATTTTCGGTTTTTCAGAAACTTGGTTCATTGAGTCAAACGATCAACTCTTGTAGACTCTAGATAGCCTAAAAACAGTACTTTTCCATGCCATAGTTCTGTGGAAGCCAGCAAAAATCAAAAAGGGGTGGGGTTATGCTTCTTATATCAAAAATACTCAATCCAAAACCACGGCAAGACCTAAACACTCTTTCTTAAAAAACTATAGAAAAACGTTTTCGAGTATATTGTATAATCCGTGCAAAGCAAATTCCTTGATGAACTAGCAAATCAATTGACTCTGCGCAACCCTACATTTTCAATTTCACTTAATGGGTGATTACAATTTGAATTATCTTAATGCAGACGAGAAAGAGTTACTAGATACAATCCTTGTTACTTACGACTTTAACAAGGTTACTAACAAAACGGTACCCACTCATTCAAAAACCCTAATTGACTTTTTTTTCGAAAGATCAGTCAAAGAAAACAAAAGCCATCCTTCAAAGCAAGCCACTTAGCTACAATTTCTATAACAGAACTAAAGCTTCCTGCTTAAATTATACCAATCGGACGCAATGCCTACGATAAACAAAACTACTCAGAAGAAGACTATAAATCACAACTTTCTAGAGTCAACAGAAAAAATGATCCAGTGTCAAGGTACAACGTTTTTATCCATAACATTTTAGTAAACACTAAAAATATGACCTTTTTTCTCTTCTAAAAATTTTCTTCGGTGAATTAGTTACCAAAAGTTTTAAAATGGCAAATCTGTTTAACTTCAAAGTTTTAACTTTAGGCTACTTTTATGATAACGTTACGACAACTCAATCATGTTTCCTCAAAGATGTCTTGAATTTGGACAACAAAAATGAGCTTTCATTCAGAGTTTTCACCAGCGCTGAGTTCAAAATAGAACTTATAGAACTCAAGTAAAAAAAATAACCGGAGCCCTGTGACATTCCAGCATGGGGACTAAGAGACGGCTGCAAGGAAAATTACCCACATATTACTTTCTTTTTCACAGACTGTCTAAAAAAATGATATCTTTCCCGACAAGCTTAAAAAGCTATTGTCACAACAATATACAAAAAAGTCTTCAAGAACTAACAGAAAACTACACAGGCCATTCACAAAAAATTTTCGAACATTTTCTTACAATCAATCAAGCGAAATTATTTTATCGCAGAACCTGCTATACAACACCCCATTCGGTTTATGAGCCTTCTATTCAACAATATATGCAATCTTTTTCTGCAGCAAAATTTTCAGAAAAACTATTGATCGCAACAAGGTTTTGGCTTGCTCATTGTTAGATCTTACCAAAACCTTCGACTCTATTGAGCATAAATTTCTATGACAAAAACCTAAATCTCTGAAGTTTTTTGAAAGTGCAATTGAAATGATAAATTCTTTCATCAGCAACAGACAACATAAAACAATTGTCGATTGCACCAAAGTGTCCCTCAGGGCACTGTTTTGAGACCCCTGATCTTCAATCTGTGTATCAACGACGTGAAGAAACATTTACATAATTCGTGCAAAGTAGTACGCTATGCAGATCACACGCTACTTGTTTGCGAAAATCAAAATGCTGATCTAGCAAAAGTTGAAACAAAAAATAATTGCAAAGGGTTATCACACTACTTTCAACGGACCTTATCATTTTCAGCCGAAACAATCGCGAGTCAATGAAAAAAAAAGCTTTCAGTTAGAAAAAATCAAAACATCCTTGAAAAAAAAGCAATGTCAAGCACCTCGGATGAATATTAGATCAATTTCTTTCGTTTCAAGAGGTAGTTAAATTGATTCTGAAAAAAGGTCTGCGGAGTTAAAATCAACCGCAATCGACCAAAAACCGTTCCCATTCAAAACTCGCCTATAAATCATGAACGCACTAGTTATAAGTCATTTTCATTAACCGGCCGTACTCGTGGGTGTAACTTAAGCAAAATATTGATGTCACTTGAAAAACAACAGAGCTGGGCCATAAAAATGCTGCGATCCTGCGAAGTTTGACTCATCGTCTGATTTAAAGTTGAAATATAATTCAATGCTTGTACCCATGTGTCTTGCTTCGAAACTAATATGCCACTCTTGGAAATTAAAAAACCAACTGCTGTTACGGACTTACTCAACAATTCAGCACAAAAACTATCATATCGACACAAATATGAGAACTAAAGTGTTATATTTCGTAGAAAGATATAACATAGAAAAATCGTTTTTTAAGCGTTCAGTAAAGATATGGAATTAGATTAAAGATGAAAACGTTAACGTTTGGGGTAGACTAACATGCAAACAAGCGAAGATCAAGTTTTAAAATGATTTTCTGTTATTATCTAAGGAAAACCCATCAGTGGCAACGTATGGTAAATTATCACCATTTGTCATATTTTTGATCGATAAAATACATGTTTAAAATTAAACCTTGTTGTTAATGTAAATTTATTTTCACTTAATTTCAACATTTGAAACTAATTTCACTTTGCATTTCAAGTGTTTTTTTTTTAATTTAATTTCAATCGATTTGAAATGTTCCAGTTTTTTGCAGCTCTCTAAAACAAAGCTTGAAAGAAGCTTGAGTCAGTTTGAATATCCACAAAAAATTACCAGCTTGCTTTCTTAGTTAACTCTATTTGTTCCAATTTTTGGCTACTTATTTACACAAGCACAGCTTGTGTTATAGTATGAACTCTCTTTTTTCCTTTCCAAGTCGCCAAAGTTTTTAAGTACAGCCAAGGCTTAGGATATGAACACATACTTTTATATTACAAATATCAATTTACAGGCATCATTGATCTGTAGCGTAGAGGTAGAGAAGGAGACCCACAACAAAATAAGAAGGTTCGAGCCGCGGCAGGGTTGGATTTTTTTAATAAACTTTTTGTATACTAGTTTAAAATCGTCCGTTCTATAAATTTAGTCATATTAGTTAGTAAATTCCTTTTTTTTTTCAAAGTGACTGGTACTGCTAATGCGTCATAATTGGCTTGCGTCACTTAAGAAGTTTTTTTCTTTCATTTTTTCCCAGTAGCGTTATCGGTCAAATTTTTGCTTTTGTATGGAAGTGCAACTTCGCCACTGTGTATAGAATTAGTTTGAGTTATCCTAAATGTCAAACTGCTTATAAAACCTTTGGATCAACTAATCTGAGAGATTGAATCAACTTAACACTTTTTTTTTGACGTCAGCAGTGGCGTGCGCAGAAATGGGAAGGGGAGGGGTGCGGTTTTTTAAAATTTTTTTGAAAAATTAGCCAATTGTTTTTTAGGTTGACCCATTTGATTTTCCGAGATCTCCCAAAGTAGTATAAGGACCCTATTTTGTGTACAATTTTCTGCGCCATAGGCAAGTTTTTCAAAAAAGGCCAAGAGTTGCGCTTTTTTCGGCGCGTACTTTGCCTCAAATTTTGGAAAAATTAAGCAAGCAAAAGGGAAAGAAAATGCATGTCATTTAGTTTCACAAATAGAGCTAAAGAAAAACAGCTAGTCCTACAGTTTTGTAAATTGACAGTTGTATGACAAGCACCTTTTTCAAAAATAGCGTTTTCTTCTACATCAACAAAAAATTTGAAAATTAAATTTGATGAATTCAAAAATGACACCTTCAATGTCCTAAGGAAAAAAAAATTTTAGATACGAAAAAGATCGAGAAAATACGATGTCACGTTTATCCGTTAAAAATGCCTGTCATACAAATTCATACTATGAAAATTGTACGATTGGCATTTTTTCCTTACAAAAAGTTGGAGAAAAACTAGCATTTTCTGTGGAAAAAAATGAGGGGAAAAACTATCTTTTTTTTTGCGAAGAAAACTGACATAATTTCTTTTTGTTTTGTAAGAAACCAGAAAAGTTTTATTTTTGTTTTGATTTAATAACCAGATAAATTGAAAGTCTGCAAACATGCAAGACGCGTTTTGCAAATAAGCTAATTTTCGAAAAAAAAGAAGCATTTTAGCCGTGCACAAAGAGTATTGCAACATTACCTTGCATGCCAAATCTCCAAATGCAATTTATTTGTAGGTTCTCGCCACTCAAACTGTTGGTTTTCTCCCATTAGAAAATCTTTTGTTATTGTGTTTAGTGCTCAACACAAAACTTAAAGCTAAACTAAAAAAATCGCTCCTTTTGTACTATTTTGAGATAACCATTTTTGGCTGACTGACCCTAAATTTTAACAGAAGGCACCTAAGGCGCCATTATATGCCAATTTTAAAGGGCGAGCGCGTGCCAAAAAAACCGCAACTCTTCTGACAAAATTTCCTAAAATGGACTTAAAAAGCTTTTTGGTTTGTTTTTTTTTACTGCCGGCGGTGCAAAAAAAGTAATTAAAACAGGGTTTTTATAGTGATTTGGGAAAGCTCACAAAATTACTGGTGGACCTAAGACCTCTTGTCGATAAAATTTGCATTTTCTTAAAAAACCAGCCATCCCCTCGAGAAAATCCTGAATCCGCTTCTGGGCAATGAAAGAAGCAATAAAAGCTTACACTGCAGCGGAAGTTTTAAAAAACTGTACACGGAAACTATATGAAATTTTGTTGATTAAGAATGGACATATAAATTCTGCGAGCGAGCGAGCACGCGCTTCTATTTGCTAGTATGAGTAACTTTGTAATGTTTTAAATAATTGAACAATTGAATAATTTTAAACTATTTTCCATAGAAGGGCGTGATGCTGGTTTTACTTTCAGATCCATCGGGTTTCACCAGCAAAAAAATTTTGTTAATAGAAAAGACAGCCCGGGGTTGAGGTCCGCGACTCATGTCCAGACTTTTGCGACAAATTTTTGGCATGTCAAGACCTTCGCGACCGAAACTTGGCATTTCCAGACTTTATCAACCACAATGATCCGTCGCGAATTTCGAGAAGTTTTAAATGATGATCTGTTTCGTAGTTGATGAACTATTCATACAAGTACTTTTGTGTGCATGTGTAGGTTTGTATGGAAGAGTGTCCGAGTAGCATGTGGTTGGGGTACTGGGAGTTGGTGAAGCAGGAGGCGGGAGCGTCAGTCGACTACACCAAGTTCATTTGCAGAAACGGAGTCAATCCTGTGAGTCAGACAAACAGAAACAATCCATATACGCTCATTTTATCACGACTAGCTTTTTAGTAAAATCACTAGGTCTAAAGTAGAATTGTAGTCATTTTTGAAATCCAAAAAACATCAATTTTTTGTGCTTGAAACCCGGTCGTGGTCTTCAAAACGGTAGTATTAATTAGAACAATTGATTGGATTAATTTAGAATAGTTTTTTTTTGTCTTATCAGGGAACTGGCCCAGGCGAGGTGTCGGACGTGAATGACTTGATCCAGACCACGTTTGGGGGTGCCGATGGACCATGTGCCTCCTACTATTTCGAGGAACAGCCACGTGAGCTCATTAAGTATCACTGAACCTCCATTTTTCAGCAAACATGGATAAAAACACTTCAAGTCAATAAATATAAGGGCTCTTCAGTTTGGCTTCTTATTTTCTCTGCCTCTAGATCTTTTTCCAGTCTCTGTAAAATGAATTAGAACTGCTGTTGTCAGGTCAAGCCTTGAACTCAATGTATATACTGCCAATTAAAGTATCTGAAGTAGTGCTTGCTTCAAAAAACTTGATAAATTTTTTAGCCACATGCAATGTGAAATGTAAAAAAAAAATTTTTTTAACCGAATTATTTGATCAAATGGATTTCCTTATTTTAAATTTGAGGATTTTTTGAGACGGCTCATTTTTAAAACCCTCATTAGTTTAACGGAAAGATGGCACCTAGAACGTTTTTGTTTCAGTTTTCAGTGCAGGTTATATTTGATGAAAGTAGAACTCTACTGGAGTCAATTCATTGTGGTTTTTATTATCGATAAATTCCACATGGAATTAAGAATTCCGTCAAAAACTGCAAAAAAGTAATAAGTAAAAAATTGTCTGATTAAATCTACCACACTGAACGCAAATGTTCCGCTGCTATCTTCAATGGCTGGTACAAAATTCTCCGTCGATCTAGATTATTTCTGCCTTTAATATTTGTATTTTTTTATTTCGACATTTGTTGTTCGGAACTTTGATGAAAGTAATGAATGGGCTCGTTTTTTATTCATGTCAAAATAGAATTTTTGAATGTTCAATTTTTTGACGGAATTTTTCCGAAATATATGAAAACTATCGCTGCCCTGAGCTGCAATATAAAAAACTGTTCCATCGTCAATTTGTTTGTTAATTTTGCGAAATTGCGGTAGTTAAGGCAAGCTACATATCGATATTAATAGTTTCTGTGGAAAGTGAGGCAATTGATCAGGAATCATCACTACATGAGTTGATCCGAGAATTGTATGTTATGATATGAGAAACTGACAAACCACTGAAGACGTCTTAAAGAACAGTCAAAACATTTATTGCTTTGCCATGATATGAGCAGTCTTGTTTCTCCGACTTCAAAGAAAGTGAGGGGTTATTTGTGCTATAAGTGGTTTCTTCGGAACAAACGTTGATATTTTACTAAATTTTGACAAAAAAGTTTTTATCAGCCGGTTGTTTTTGTTGTCTTGAGCTAAAAATTTAAAATATATTTCACCTGTGATCATTTTTTGTAAAGTTATGGGGGTTAAGGGTTACCATTTTTGCCAGTTTGAAACAATCAACGCGCGATACATTGTTTGCTTTACTCTAGTCCGTCAATCCGTCTCAGAAATTGTCCCGAATTGAAGTGAGGCGAACCATGTGTTCTATTTATTATTGTTGCGACTTTCGAAACGAAAGTAACGGAATATTTGCGCTCGGGTGGGTTTTTTTCTTCAGACAAATTTCGACTTTTTAACTAGCCATTTTTGACGGGATTTTTTCATATCATTCGAAAGCTATTGTTGTCCTGAGCTTAAATTTGAAAAGATATTATACCTGTGATCATTTTTCGTAAAATTATGGGGGTTTAAAAATAGCCATTTTAGCCAATTTGGGACAATTAACGAGCGATGTATTTCGCGCTATTACCGCGTAAGCCGGGATTTAATCCGTCTTATAAATCGTTCCAAATTGGTTCAAGGAAATTTATATACCATAATTGAATTGTTAGTATGAGCAATATCTATCACCTTGTACTTAATATGGGGTGTTATGGGATGTTTTTACAAAAAAATCTCGACTTCTTTTTTAATTTAATTTTATTTTATTATATTTAAATTTTTCATGTTATTACTGCTCCATAGACCTTTAACGACAGTCGGAAGGAACAATCAGGGCTTCGCCCTGATACGAGCAGTCTTGTTTCTCTATATTCTAAATGCATCACTTTTTACTCTACATAGCGTGTGGTGGGATAATTTTCGCAAAATACAAAATTAAAAGAAATGATCGTTTTTGTACAGTGCTGATTTAAATTAACCGGACAAAACGCGTTAAACTTGAAATTTAAAACCCGTTTTTCTCAAAATGGGTTGAGTTTAGGTGAAAACGTATAAAGACAAAGCTTGCTTGAAATTTTAACAGAATTAATATGGTGTAATTTGTTTTGCGAAATTCGGGCCCAAAATTTTATCCCACAAATGGGTCATTTTGGCGTTTCTTAGTTAGTCAAAAATTACGCCAAAAATACCCAGTCGATTACAGACATAATTATATCAAACTGAGCCCTTTACGTAGCCCAACAAACTTTATGAAGGGTATTTTCTCCAAAAAAAATTTGCAAATTGTTTGAAAATTGTTTTTAAATAAAAAATTGGTATTTTATATTGTAAAAACGACCTTTTTTGTCTATCAAACAAAAATAATTTAACTTATACAATATTTTGGAGAAAATACCCTTCATAAAGTTTGTTGGGCTACGTAAAGGGCTCAGTTTGATATAATTATGTCTGTGATCGACTGGGTATTTTTGGCGTAATTTTTGATTAACTAAGAAACGCCAAAATGACCCATTTTTTGGGTAAAACTTTGGGCACGAATTTCGCAAAACAAATTACACCATATTAATTCTGTTAAAATTTCAAGCAAGCTTTGTCTTCATACGTTTTCACCTAAACTCAACCCAATTTGAGAAAAACGGGTTTTAAATTTCAAGTTTAACGCGTTTTGTCCGGTTAATACAAATCAGCACTGTATAGTTAGGGGGTTTGAATTTGCTGATTTGACCTATAAAATCCGATAAGAAAATTCAAGTTCACCTATTTTGCGATTCGATCTGTCATCCAATTATCATGATTTCTTAAAGAGCTCTGTTGCTCCAAAAAAAAAAATTGATGAATCTGGCTGACAAAAAAAACAGTCAAGTCAACCTGCATTTTGCCTACCAAACACAACTGTTGCGCAAAAGCTGTATTAAAAAACAGTTTCAAGTGTTATGAACCCATTTTCGAATAGATTGGTGTTGTGAATGTTGTTCTCTGTGTAGTTCTACATCGTTGCTTGCCGAGCATGCTGTTTGACATCATAGACACGACAGTGGACTCGTACGAATTCATAGCTGACAATGGCACTACATACCCCCTCGGACCCCTGGACGCATCCGGGGCAGTGAGCGCCATAACTGGACCCATCATGCAAGTCATCGGAGAGTAAGTCACGGCTGAAACCCCTTTTTTCCAGCAGAACATATTAAACTCTTATAACCTCTCGTTTAAAAAAGCATGTCTAGAAATGATTACATTCAAACAATCAACAATATGGCTTAAACAGCACACCGCACCAATTATTTTGTTATTTACTAATTCGCTCCGAACAATTAAGCGAGCTGCGTTCCTGACAAGATATAGTGAGAGGATTCCGTGAGCCATTTTACATAGAAATTTGTTAACTTGTACTGAAAAATTTAATTCTTTCTACAAAAAATTCCTACAATGATTTTGAAACTTTATTTTCGTGATTTTTATGAAACACTAAGTCTGCACTCAGTCTGCTTTGTATTTGTCAAACTTTGCGAATATTCGATATAAGTTACTTGCTATTACAAAATTATTAGCTAGTTGTTCTTCTGAAGGTGAAGATGACGAACCTATCATTGTCAATTTTACAAATGTTTATTTTGATTTATTTAAGTGTCATTGTTCTTTCGTGTTTATAAACTTCTGAAGAAATGTGTTGTGAAAAATTTTCTCAACCTTTAAAAAAGTCTATTGACCCACTTTTTTGTTTCTTGTAATCAGTTTTATCGAGCATATTTCCAATTTTCAAAAAACTGTGGGTTTTCAAAAATTATCTGCTTTATTGAAATTGCTAATCACAGTTCATTTGTTTCAATGGTCTTGAATACAAACTTCTGCATAAAAAATGTGAATCTTTTCAAACTATCCTTAAGTATATCAACAAAAACAGATAAGGTATTCTGCGCATCTGTTTGTTGGTATATGAAAGACCGGCTAGTAAGCTTTATCGAAAATTGACCTCAAAAAGTTTTTTGTCGTTACTGATAATAAGGTTGGGTTTGTAACGAAACAAAACGTGGCCTTTATTAATTGGAGTTTAACAACAGTTGAAAATAGTGATCTGTGCTGTTGACATAAAAACACAGGATTTATCATACTCGCTCAATGATCAATCTGATTGGAATATCAAAATTGATACGTTTGATTCTATCATTTGCGCCAAAACTGTTCGATCCGGTTAAGTTTTGGTTGCGGAAAAGGTAGTTGCCAAAGTTTTTGATGCTAGTTCATCTAAAACGATCTCTTTTAAACGTTTTTTTAGGACATTAAGAAACATTCCAAAATGTTTTTTTTTTGTCAAATGGTTCACTAATTCTGACTACCTTGACTGAAAAAAGTTTTACTTAGTGACTTCAGATCATCTTTTTCCATTCACGATATATTTTTAGGGGTCCATACTCCAATACCAACACACTTGCTAACTCTTGTCAACTTTTTTCTGTTTTTGTGTTAAAACCTAAACTTGGGATTCCGATTTTTTTTCTGTTATTTGTTTTGCCTCAAAACTATTATCCGATAAGTCTTCCAAAAAATTTTGTATTTCATCAAATTTGTTTTTGATACTTCTGACAAAATCTGGGAAAAACCTCTTTTTTAAATTGAACCAAGGTTTTTCAAAAGTTTTAATGGCTCTAAATTTTAGAGGGTCTGAGTGTTTTTTGAATTCTCCTGATAATATAAGGCTTTTAAATTGGTAGAAAATTATCTAAAAATAAATAGTAGGCGCCTGAAGTCACGAGAAAATGTAATTTCTTATAATTGTTTTTTTTCATCAAAGACTTCATTTTTCCCTCAAATCAAGCATTAGTGCATGAAAAATTATAAAGGTGTGGTTGATAAGTGTTATGCATAGGCATACGCCCAATTTTTGAAGAACTATAATTCCCATTTTATTTTGGTAGTACAATGTATCTATTTGTTGTCCATTTGTTTAACATTCAAAAATGACCTAACGTTTTGAACCGTTTTCTGAATACCGCTAATATTTGGATGAACAAAATCATTCGGTATATCTGCTTTTCAATTCTTTGGGAGATGCATATGGGAGATGTACCAATTTTTATAAAAGTAAGGAAATCTGAGTTCACGCAAAACACAAAATAGTTTATGAAACTGAAATGTTCCATTAATGGAGATTATTTTCGTAATTTGATGGAGATTACCTTCCGTCGCATGAAAAAACGGATGGAGATTATCTACCGTCGCATGAAAAAACTGATGGAGATTACCTACCGTCGCATGAAAAAACGGAATTCAAAGGCTGTTCAAATCAGGTTATCTGTTATTTTACTCAAACACCCCAGTAATTTTAGCTTTGCAAAGAAGGTTTTTGACTATTTCAGGGTAGTGGCAGGCTTCTACACTGCCCAGGGCATCACCTATCAAATTCTGGATGACCTGGTGGACTGCTGGGAAATGATGGCAGTGTTCATGACAGTCTCCTGCTTTCTCATCGCCCTCACCATTGTCCTCATGGGCATCGTGGCCAAAATTGTCATCTGGACACTGCTCATTGTAGTCCACGTTGCACTCCTTGCAGGTATTGTGATTGTTGCAATACAAGTAGTCTAAGCCAGAATATTCACACATGAGCTGACTTATTTTCACAACTCTTTTTCCCATCATTTTAAATTGTCCTAGTTGGTGATGGGAGCCATTTGTTTAGCGAGAAATTCGTTCGAATTGAAGCATCAACTGTTAAATTGATATACGACCGAATCATTGAGGCTGAAACTTTTTTTGAAAAAATCCCCAGTGCCTTTTAAATAGCTTCCTTAGTCAAAGTATATTAAATTCCCCTCCGCATCTGAAACTGTTGCAGGAAAAACGACATAAACGCAGAGAAAGTGTTGGTTAGACTAATAATAGTTCAAGCTCAAAAAGTGAGAGTTTCCTGGTAAAATGGTGCATATTGGGTCTTCCAATCAGAATCATCCAATGGCTTGCTTTGTTTTGATTGCGCAGGTGTGTACTTCTGCTACCTGAAATATCAGGAGTTGAGGAGTGAGCAGAATGTGGCAGAGGATCCGAACAACTATAACCTGGAGGCCAACATGGAATACTACAGCAGTCTCTACCAGACATGGAGATATATTGGAATGGTGTTGGCAGCGCTGTTTGGCATCATACTCCTCCTCACCTGCTTCCTCTTCAACAGGATCCGCCTGGCCATCCAGGTCATCATCGAGGCCAGCGCGTAAGAGGCACAAATAGATATTACATCGACTGAACAAAATTTAAGCGTTTTAGAAACTCCGCTCGGAATGAAGCTCCCTGAAAAGTGTCAAGATATTTTTCAATAGTAACAAAATCAAAAACTGCATAAATAATTGGGCTTCCCTTGCCAACCCTAAGGCATTTTTGGCGCATTTTTGGCCCGTTTTTTTCAAATCTTTTTCAAAATCAATTTGCTCGACCTAAAAAAAATGGCTGACAAAATTTTCGAAACTTTTCTGAAAATCCGCCCCGCCCCCCTCGAGAAAATCTGAGATCCACCCTGATTAGCGTAATGGGTTTTCCCAAAAACATGAACACTTCAGAGATACATATATTAGAACCGATATATACATTAGAAAAGTTCATTTTGTGAAACATAATTTGTTAAAACAGTGAAAAAAAACAGTAATTTTGAGTTTTTGAACAAAATTTTAGCCAGTTTTTCTGTTGTCAGTGCTGTGCGAAGTATGCTGTGCTCCCTTACGACCAGCATCTTCCCATGGATGCTACAGCTGTGCATAATGGCCTACTTCCTGGTGCTGACAGCATACATCGCCAGTTACGAGGGGGACCCAGTGTACAACACTGGATCGAACAGCTCCAACGCCTCCATTGCTAACTCAGATGCTGGAGATCCCTGCACCCCCACTTTAACCTATGACAACGTCACTCTTAATAACGGCTCCGGACAGTTAATTGCATCCGTGAGTCCACCAAGACCAATTTTATTAATAATCATAATAAACTCGTTTTCAAGTAGGGAACAGACTCGAATTTTATTTAAACAACTCATAATGATTAAAAAATTATTGTCTGGAAGAACACCAAAAATGCCAATTCAATTAGCCTTCTAATTGAATTATCTCATGTGGTTTCGTCAATTTAACTCTTTCACTTTCATTCAAAACTCCACAGTGAATACTTTCTACAATGGTCAACTGCAGCTTCAGCTTCCTGTCAGATTATCCAGCACAGATAATATTAACAATTGGGACACAAGAAAGAACTGCTCATTGTCTGACGTCTCGTGAGCTCATTTTAAATGAAAAAAGACGCAATGATCTCAAAAACTGTTTCTCCTCGCTCCAATAATGATTATAGTTTGTTCATTACGTTTGCGAATAAATAATTTATTACAAATTGGTTGCTAACTATCGTAATAATTCACGTTTCACCTGCGAAAAATTTGGCTCGATGATGGATTAGTTTTTGGAGCTTCGTGATTTTAATTATGCTTCTGGCTTTTGTTCTAGCTTTTTAAACCTTTTTCAAGTCTCCGTTCGTAGGATGGTGACAAAGTGTTTCGAACTGATTGGAAGTTTGTTGTTCCGACCATTGAAAATGGGGAGGAACTTTGTACTCGGGTGTGTTATTGTTTTTTTTAGTTTTTGTTTTCCACGCATAATCAGGTACCACAAATAATGATCGGATTGGGTTGAGTGATATGTCATATTTAAACCTTTCAGTCGCAGTAATTTTTTTGTTTTTGTTTTTGTTTTTCTTGTTATTTGTCTTCAAAAATTGTTACAATGACTGACGAAAATGCTCTTTTTTTGCTCAGATTCCTTTATCACACTACGACAAGCCGAAAAAACTACACTATTTGAAAAAAAATTTGGTTGTAATTTTTATGACTGGTCGGAACATTCTGCGCTATTTGCGCAGTAACCGGCTATCTTTGTTTTAGACTGGCAACTGCTACTTCCAGACATATGTAGGCCAGGACAAGCTCAACTACGTGCACGCCTACAACATCTTCATGTGTCTGTGGCTGCTCAACTTCGTCGATGCCATCGGCCAGTGCACTCTGGCTGGGGGCTATGCCGACTATTACTGGAGCAGAGGCAAAGCAGGACAGCTCTCCACTTTCTTCTCCCTCTTCAGGGTGCTAAGGCCAGTCTTTTTTATCACCAACTTTGCTTCATTCCCACAATGTGTAACAACCACAAAACAGGTGTAGTTATAAAGTCTTTAAGATTGTTCAGGACTGCCTTGTTTAAATCTTTGAAAATCTGGAGCGGGAAGGGCTCGAATTATCGGTCAGTGATCTAGGTTTGAATTTTATCTACGCTGGTCTAACTTGTTCATCAGATGTTATTTTGGTTATTTTGTTGCACCTGGTTTTAGAACTGTCTGAGTTGTGACTGCTGCAATTCTTGTTTAAAAAGTACTCTAGCTACTTTGCTCAAAAACCTATATTTATTGTTTTGAGTGAATGAATTTTTACAACTTAGACCACTCAAGCCGCGCCAATTGAGATAAGTCAAAAAATTTGCTCCAAAAAATCAATAAATATAAGAAATGTGAAAAATAGAGTTTGCCCTTTTAACTTCCCAACTTTCAGTAATTTCAGACGAAAGATAATAAGGAAAAAACATTGACGCCTGAAATTTGTTGCAGATATCACATTGGTTCTATGGCGTTTGGATCCTTCATCATCGCTGTGGTCCAGTTCATCAGGCTGATCCTGGAGTACCTGGACAGAAAACTGAAGAAGAAGAAGAACCTGCCGGCCAAAATAGTTCTCTGGTCAGTTTTGATAAACACTATTTTTTGATCAGCAAAGATTTAGAATCATGAAAACCTTTTTGAGAAGTTACTGAGCTTTGATGGATTATCCTGGCTCACAACAGTTTCTACCCCATCCGTGTTTTTGTTTGGTCTTGTGGAACAGGGCATAACCTTTGAGTAACCATGAGATCATGTTAAGATTCCTGGAGGTTTCAGAGACAATGGCACCTGAATTTAGATGTTATCTCGCTACGTTCCATGAACCCAGACCCTGGCTTGGGAGTGAGTGAGGCGTTAATTACCGACCCAGGAAAACAGCAAAAAAATGCACACGAATTCTCGAAATGAGAACCCAGGACCTAGGTTGAAAAAAAAAATGCTTAACATACAATTTCATAGACTAAAAAATATTTTTTTTTGAAAATGAAAAAAAAAACAGCTTTTCCATATTATGAAATCGTTCAACAGACATTTTTTTAAACAAGAGAATTGTATGACAAGAATACTTTCCATATTGTTTTTTTGTTTCGCTTTCTAATTGTATTTTTCCCTATAAGAGAAAAACCAACAGTATAAACGGCATCAAAACTGGAAATTATTCTACGTAATAATAACTGAATCATTAGATTTTCTCATGTTATTATAACAAAAAAATGCAATTTTTTCGATATGTCTACGAGGCCTCTATTTTAAATAATACTATCTAAAACTGATAAATACAAACTCTGCCGTCCGAATTTTCATTGTGACTCTTGATTCTTTTATGTAACAAGAATGTGCGTGGACTCTTGAAATGAAAAGTTCCCGTGATAATTTTTTTGAAAACGTTGTTTTTTTTTGTGTGTAAAACTGCTTTAGCGACTAAAACTAAAGTGAGAACTAAAAACTCTAATTGAAGTATGAACTGTAAATGGGTTCCACAACAGGTTAAAACAGATTAGACTCCGAACCAACATAGGAGTTGCTATTTTTCTGTGATGGTTGCTGTTTTGGGTTCCACGAAGAAATAACTAAAATACTATAATGCTCAAATCCTCTCCAAAAGCAGCAAATCCGCTACAAAATTTGCGGAATCTGGAATATTTTGTGGAATACAAAAATAAGTTTGCCCCGCATAACCCTGTTTGCGGAATCCGCTACAAACCAAGCTCACCTACTAATTCGGTGGTTATAATCAGCCTTGATTGTTAGTGATGTTCTCTGTTTTAGTATGTGCAAGTGCTTCTTCTGGTGCTTCGAGAAGTTTATCAAATTCATCAGCAAGAATGCATACATCCTCGTGAGTGCTTAATACATAACATAACACTAGTCTTTTTTATACTGTGGAATATACACGCCTCAATCTATTCTGATTGTTTTGGTTAAAGTCTTAATTGCTCCGAAGTTCGAAGAAAAAGAAAAAGTGGTGCTGTGGTCGTGTTTTAAAATAATTATTTTTGGCGGATTTTTCATACCATCTGAAAAGCATTGCTGTCTTGAGCCCAAATTTAAATCAATGTTTTAACAGTGATTGTTTTTGGTAAAGTTATAAGATTTATAGACTGACAATTTGGCTAACTTGGGACAATTAACGCTCGATATGTTTCGCGCTAGCCGCACATGAGCTCCATGGATAAAAGTCGATTATACTGTTATTTTAATGTCAGTCGTCATGAAATTTACGAATAAACCTTTATAAAAGGTTGAAAATGGGTTATAATGTTACTAATTTTACAACAACAAAATTCATTTTAAATTCATTATAATCAATTATAATTTATTATAATATTATTTTTGAACTTAATCAGGACAGTGCAAATAATTTTTGTTGATTTAAGAATTTGAGATTTGTTGTTGCAATACAGTCGTTGAATTATTTCAAGTTGAATCAAGTTATAAAAAAAGAAAATTTAAGCTTTTTTTCTAAACTTTCTCATTATAATTTTCCTCTATTTTCGTATTCATCTTTTTAGTTTTTTTTAGATTTTTTGTTAGTTTGAGGAATAAAACTTTGCGAAAAGTCTAAAAGTGTGAGTAGGTTTTGAATTTGAAGTAAGCTGTGGGTAATGCAAAATCAGCTGCAGTTTGAAGAAAATTAGGAAAAAAGTCATACTGGATACAATCTACTATAATCCATTGCAGTGGATTTAAATTAGCTAACTTATAAATGATTTAAACACACTAAATATTTGAAATATGATTGATTATAACTGATTGCCTATCAAATTTTTACTCTAATCGAATATAATGGTAAATCTTGTAGATACGAATATCGATTGTAATCAATTATCCATGGAATCTCATCGCAGGTATAAACGCGTAAGTGGCGATTTTATCCGGCTTAGAAATCGTTCCAATTGAATTGAGGCATGCTATTGATTCTAATTTTTGCCGTATTTTTTTTTGAAAATTTCATCGTCATCGTTTTTTAACACTACTCCATAGACCTTAAAGAGCATTCGGACCACTTAGAGCGTCCCCTTGATACCGGGAGTCTTGTTTCTTTTTATAAAGTAATTTATTTCAGACTTGAAGCTTTGTGATACGTGATTTTTTAAAGCATTCCCGAACGCGTTTTTTTAATAATAACAGACCACCGATAGCTTTCAGGCAAGTTTGGTTACCACATTTAAAGCGAAAAAAAATCCAAAAAATGCATATGATCAATTACTGTAGCACTAAATTTGTTAATTGGTTTGTTCAGATTGCAATCTATGGTCGAAACTTCTGTTTCTCTGCAATGGACGCCTTCTTTCTCATCCTGCGCAATGCAGTGCGGGTTGCAGTCGTCAACGGCATCACCGCATTCCTCATATTTGTCTCGAAAATGGCACTCACAGCTTCAATGGGTCAGCCTCATTTTTTAATATCTCAATTATTTAGGAGGGGAGTGGCGGTGAAGTGATAACGTCTCCACCGTCAAGCGAAAGGTCGGATCTTCGAGGACCACCAAGAACCGTGTTCGTTACTTGAAAGTGTGGCAACAATACCCAGCCAGAAAACAAAACAACCAAAAACATTGCATGTAGATCTTAACCAGGGGCAAAACAGCGGTTAACTGTGAGAGCTGAACAGTTCGTATGTTGGTTCTTTCCATTGTGAATAAATTGTCTTAAGATTAAGCAGTTTTATCCGTGTTTGTCTAAACAAAAAACTAACAGTTTTCAAACGTTTTTTTTTTCATAAATGAAAGAATAACGATGGGAAGAATTTTGCAGCAAAAATTGTCACTGGTGAGCTTTGGGAAAAAAACGTTTGGTATGCATTTTTTGTACATTGGCTAAATAACGTAGGAAAATTAGTAGGAATGCCTATAAGAACTGGAAAATATTTTTGTTTGCATGAAGTTTTGCGCCCCATTGTTCAAAAAAGAGACCACCTGATTTTTCATTGAAAATAAATAAATTCAGAGTGGAAAAATTACAATCGGTAAATTTCAGCAGAGTACCATATATCATAATCAAATCTGTCTTTACTCTGCTATGAAGTGTTCTGTTTTTTTTTGTGCATCAGTATTTGCATCGTTCCTGTTCTTCTCTGGTCACATCACTGCAGTGAACGAGTGGGTGCCAGACCTCAATTACTACTTCATACCCATCATTGTTAGTCAACATCCGATTTCAACAACTCAATTTTTTTGTAGAAATTAATTTTAAAGAAATCACTATTCAAAAAATCAATTTTCAAGAAATCAGTTTTCAAGAAATCAGTTTCAAAAAATCAATTTTCAAGAAATCAGTTTTCAAGAGATCAGTTTTTAAGGAATCAGTTTTCAAGAATTCAGTTTTCAAGAAATCAATTTTCAAGAAATCAAATTCAAAAAATCAATTTTCAAGAAATCAGTTTTCAAGAAATCAGTTTTTAAGGAAATAGTTTTGAAGAATTCAGTTTTCAAGAAATCAATTTTCAAGAAATCAGTTTTCAAGAAATCAATTTTCAAGAAATGAGTTTTCAACAAATCAGTTTTCAAGAATTCAATTTTCAAGAAATTAGTTTTCAAGAAGTCAGTTTTCAAGAAATCAGTTTTCAAGAAAACGGTTTTCAAGAAATCAATTTTCAAAAAACCTGTTATCAAGAATTCAATTTTCAAGAAATCAGTTTTCAAGAAATCAGTTTTCAAGAAATCAATTTTCAAGAAATCAGTTATCAGGAAATCAGTTTTCAAGAAACCAATTTCAAGAAATCAGTTTTCAAAAAATCAGTTTTCAAGAAATCAGTTGGCAAAATATCAGTTTTCAAAAAATTTCAAGAAATCAGTTTTCAAGAAATCAGTTTTCAGGAAATCAGTTTACAAGAGGTCAGTTATTAAGAAATCAGTTTTCAAGAAATCAATTTTCAAGAAATCAGTTATCAGGAAATCAGTTTTCAAGAAATCAATTTTCAAGAAATCAGTTTTCAAGAAATCAGTTTTCAAAAAATCAGTTTTCAAGAAATCAGTTGGCAAAATATCAGTTTTCGAAATTTTTCAAGAAATCAGTTTTCAAGAAATCAGTTTTCAGGAAATCAGTTTACAAGAGGTCAGTTATTAAGAAATCAATTTTCAAGAAATCAGTTTTCAAGAAATCAGTTTTCAAGAAGTCAATTTTCAAGAAATCAGTTTTCAAGAAATCAATATCCAAGAAACCAGTTATCAAGAAATCATTTTTCAAGAAATCAGTTTTCAAAAAATCTTTTTTCAAGAAATCAGTTTTCAAAAAACCAGTTTTCAGAAATCAGTTTTCAAAAAATCAGTTTTCAAGAAATCAGTTTTCAAGAAATCAATTTTCAAGAAATCAGTTGTCAAAAAATCAGTTTTCTAATATTTTCAAGAAATCAGTTTCCAAGAAATCAGTTTTCAATAAATCTGTTTTCAAGAAATCAGTTTTCAAGAAATCAGTTTTCAAGAAATCAGTTTTCAAGAAATAATTTTTAAGAATATCAGTTTTCAAGAAGTCAGTTTTCAAGAAATCAGTTTTCAAGAAATCAGTTTTCAAGAAGTCAGTTATTAGGAAATCAGTTTTCAAGGAATCAGTTTTCAAGATATCAATTTCCAAGAAATCTGTTTCCAAGAAATCAGTTTTCAAGAAGTCAGTTTTCAAGAAATCAATTTTCAAGAAATCAGTTGGCAAAAAAATCAGTTTTCAAAAATTTTCAAGAAATCAGTTTTCAAGAAATCAATTTTCAAGAAATCAGTTTTCAAGAAACCAGTTTACGAGTGGTCAGTTATTAAGAAATCAGTTTTCAAGATATCTATTTTCAAGAAATCAGTTTTCAAGAAATCAGTTTTCAAGAAATCAATTTTCAAGGAATCAGTTTTCAAGAAATCAATTTTCAAGAAACTAGTTATCAAGAAATCAGTTTTGAAGATATTAATTTTCCTGAAATCATTTTTCAAGAAATCAGTTTTCAAGAAATCAGTTTTCAATAAATCAGTTTTCAAGAAATCAGTTTTCAAGAAATCAGTTTTCAAGAAATCATTTTTCAAGGAGTCAGTTATTAAGAAAGCAGTTTTCAAGGAATCAGTTTTCAAGATATCGATTTTCAAGAAATCAGTTTTCAAGAAATCAGTTTGCAAGAAATCAGTTTTCAAGAAATCAATTTTCAAGAAATCAGTTTTCAAGAAATCAGTTTTCAAGAAACCAATTTTCAAGAAATCAGTTATCAAGAAATCAGTTTTCAAGAAATCAGTTTTCAAGAAATCAGTTTTCAAGAAATCAGTTTTCAAAAAACTAGTTTTCAAGAAACCAGTTTTCAAGAAATCGGTTTTCAAGAAATCAGTTTTCAAGAAATCAATTTTCAAGTAATCAGTTGGGAAAAAATCAGTTTTCAAGAAATCAGTTTTCAAGAAAACAATTTTCAAGAAATCAATTTTCAAGAAACTAGTTTTCGAGAAATCAGCTTTCAAGAAGTCGGTTATTAAGAAAATCGCTTTTTAACCATTCACAGGTTACAATTTATAAAAACCAAAGTTAGGTCATGCCTGCAGAATGTTCCCAATGGGGTTCTCAAAGAGCTCGTCCAGGGGCCTGACCTTGAAAATATATATAAAAAAGAGAGTCAAGCATAATCTCAATGCCCAATCTCGCTCGGCGAAGAGATAAGAGACTATTCATTTAACTCACTGTGATTGATCTTTGAACAAAACTGAAGGGCGTTCGAACCAAACAGTGTTCGTGAACAGTTTTTATTTCATTAAAATGCGTTTCAGGTGATCGGAGTGATGACTTACATTGTGGCTTCCATATTCCTGGACACATATGACATGGCGGTAGATACCATCTTTCTATGTGTCTGTAAGTTATACACAAACTAAGCAAGGATAGCCGGTGCCGGTTACTGTGCAAGTGGTACAGAATGTTCCGACCATTGTCTTAGTAAAGTGTCGTTTTTTTTCGGCGTGGTGTGATAAAAGGAGCTGAATAAAAAACTAGAGATTAGGCATACTCGCCAGTCATAGTAAAATAAGCAAACTGAGAAAAAAAGGAGCTAAAAACTCAAAAAACAGGTTACTTGAGTAAAACTAAATTTTAATTTTTGATATAAGCTATTGTTAGCTTTTAAATAATTAAAATAAGCTAGTGGAAGCCTGCTCCCTCGCTTTATTCGCACGAACAAAGACGAAAAACCAAAAATGTCAAAACCAAATTTTTCTCAATAGTGGGAATTTTTTTTGAAAATTTTTTTTGTCGTTCAAACCACGACTGTAAGGGTTTTAATATGATGTAATTCTCTCCGATGATTATTTGTGGTACCTGATTTTGCCTGGAAAAAAAACACACCCGAGTACAAAGTTCCTACCCATTTTTCAATTGGTCGCAACAAAAAAGCCCAATGCTAGTATGGTTGGGCTTCTCAGTTTGCTTCAAAAAGTTTCAAAAACGTTTTTGATGATAGTTTTTGTGCTTCTTAGTTTTTCTCCAAATTTTTTTTTTAATTTGGCTTTTCATACCATTTTTTGTTAGTACTGATTCATGTTTGTTTGTTTGTTTGTTTGTTTCCAGTAGAAGACATGGAGCGGAACGACGGCTCCCCTGAGAAGCCCTACCACATGAGTGATTCCCTCATGAGCATCCTGGGCAAGAAGAACGATTTCAAGTAGAAACCAAATCGGGAAACCAAATTTTGACAATCAATCCTATCACTTCTTTTGGATGCTAATTTTGTTTATAGTTGTACAACCATGTCAATATACAAATCAAAACGCACAGCAGAAGCTATTCGACCTACAAGGATTAATTTATAAATAAAATGAATCATATAATCTCGAAAATAAAAAAAAATCATTTAATTTGTGAATTCTTCCAAACGGAAAGATTCTGTGCACAGATTATTTCCCTGTATATTAGGCATAAGTAATTGAAACGTATCAGTTTCCAATTTATTAGGACTTCATAAACTCAGTAAACCAACAAATAATTGTGGCTTCTGCGATTCGCACAGGATCTATGAAAGGATATCCAGCCGGTCTAAACATTTTTCGTTTCTTTGTTTCCCCACATTTCAGATTGATTTTTTTTATTGTGCGAAGCTTTTCTTTTTGCATTTCAATGTCGTTTTTTTTGTGTCTGGATTTTTCGTGTGTTAGCAAGCACTGAAGTTTTACGGATCATAATCGATTATATTATGTTTTCATTTTCAGTCTCCACAAAAAATAGACTATAAATGATTCAAAGGGATTATAATCCTGTAAAATGAGACTTGTAAAATTGTAAAATGAGACTTGTTTTGGATAAAAAAAAATCATTTTTCCTCTACAGTTTTTTATTTTTTATTTTTCTTAGTTTCTTGTGTTTTTTTCCAACTTCTTCCCAATTTACATGCCTCAATCCCTCCTTGTCTCCCCCATCCCACGTTAAATTCCCCATCCCACGTTAAATCACACGGTAACGGGGCTATAAGGGTGTGTGTGTGTCTGTGTGTGTGTGAGTGTGTGTGTGTGTGTGAGTGTGTGTGTAAGTTAAGTGCACAAACAAAGACGAAAAACCAAAAAATTTAAAACCCAATTTTTCTCAATAGTGGGAATTTTTTTTTGAAAATTTTTATTGTCGTTCAAACCACGACTGTAAGGGTTTTAATATGATATAACTCTCTCCGATGATTATTTTGTGGTACCTAATTTTGCCTGGAAAAAAACACACCCGAGTGTAACCTGTGACTATGTAAGTGTCTCTATACAGGCTCAGAAACAAGCCCAATATAATCTAATAACTTCCCAATAGATTTGAAAAGACAAGCGGAATTTAAGAAATAAAGCAATAGAGACACCTTGTAGAGATGTCAGTCGGAGGAAATTGAAATTATCCACTCGAAGCATCTGATAAACTTTAAGAAATCTGATTTCAAAATTTTAGTGGTGTTCTAGCGAAAATTATAACAGAATCAAGGAGTAAAGTTGTGACATTTTAGTAAAAATCTGTACAATTTCATAAAGGAAATTGCTTAACTTTTTTTTGCAAGTACTCTTAAGCTTTTTTCCAAAACAAATTTTTCAAGTAATCTGGAAATCAATACTTTACGCAAAACCTGCATATTGCATTACAACTGCGGAACCAAAGTTTTTTTTTACCGTAAACAGTTTTTCCCACAAATCTGTTCGAAATTGAACTAGTTTGGAAC